GTTTATCCTACCCTTTATTTCCAGCGAAATAAGTGCAGCTATGAAACGTTTCTTAAGTAGACCTGGTCTAGACAATTCGATAACAGTGATTGAAGTGCTACCGAACACTCTATGACGCCAGTTAGCTTATAATCGCCTATACGACCGTCTACACGTAACGCAAAATTACATACTATACCCTAACGGTAGAGATGGTGGTTTCATGACTTCCGATACGTGCATCCAATCTCTTGTAAGTTGTTGGGTACGAATAGATAGACGAAACGGGCAGACTATTCTGCATCCATATAGAATAAAAAGTAATCACCAAATTTAAGTTGGAACCAAATATTCTACTAGGCGCATAGGACACAGAAACGTAACGGAGAAGATTTCGAAGTAAAAGTCACTACCTTCGCATAGGAGCGCGAAACAGCACGTAAAACCTTTCAGGCATTGTGGACACATTCCAGGAATTCAAAAGTGAGCCGTAAGGAGAAGTGCCTTGTGATCACATGTGGCACAGCGCCATACCTCAGGCTGATTCTTTGGCTTGTGTCGTGGACCTTCCTCCCGCATGTAGTACTCGGTTAGGCTAGCCCATACCAAATAACTAGAAGACTTATTACGAATAAAATGGTAAGTGTTTAAAAGCAGGTGTTCATTATGCGAATGCAAATTCAAGTCTTATATGCTAAGGCCATGAAAGTGTTTGGTTGAGTAGATTGCATGTCAATTTGACGTTTCCAGGTTCTGAAGAAGGTGAAACCGCCAAAAGGTCAATTATTTTTTATTAACAATTTCTGTAGTATTAATATCCTGTTTGTCCATCAAGAAAAACAATTAATTATTCGTCAAAACCGATGTTAAAAGAAGCTCAGGCTTGGCGTTTGTTTTGAGATTTCCCAGGGGGAAAAAAGTGAAAGAATCATTGCTTCGTATAATAGCTGTAGTCGGGATTAAGAAAGCCATCATCGCTCCGTCGGAACAGTATTCGCGGGATTCACCAACGCTGCAGTTCGAGAATATTCTTGGGCAAGAGTCTTTCGGTTTCTAAAGACCACTAACTGCATAAGATGAAACTAGGAAACCACTGGCTTAACACTACTCCAGGATTCAAGAGCATTATGCTCGACCAGCACTGAACAATTCAGTTAAGAGTGAAGGCGGTAAATCAGTATGCGGCTGATTCCACATTGGAACCCGGTGATCATCACAGATGCAAGCGTTTTCGAGATAACGAAACGAATAGGAAAAGTGTTACGGCTCGCAGTACATATGTGGATGAATTTACAAGAATGAATAGAAGCCACAGTGTTAACTTTTTATTTACCGCTTATTAATATTTTTCCAAAGCAAAGTGTGATCTTTACCAACCACTATGATGCTAAGATATTTGGAAAACGTGGACCTCAAGGCAGATTCGAGCACGTAATCACCCTTTCTGGGGGTCCAGAGAGGGAGCTCCCGTGTTACCTGCTGCATCACTAGAGCCCTTGCTTTGCCTTTCCCTCGGCCATTTTCGAATCTGGCTTAGGGTCCAAGTCTTGCAATTATCTCATCATCATAACAAAAAAAGTTGATTTCCATGAAACTAACTGAGGTTTTCACAAGCCGTATGCCATGCTCCATACTAAGCCTATTTTCGTCGGTTTTGCTTAGGTGAAGAATTTCACCTTTTCTTTCATAATTCTTTTCTCCACATTTGAGAAGTTTCTTTACCTGTATTCTGACGCGTTTTTTTCGTCATTATTTAAGCATGGATGTTTTGATAGAGCCAGATGTTGCCATCCAATGTTTACAGCTAAACCGACCAGTATATCTATTGGTATCAATAGAAACTTAAAATAAATCTACTAAATAAATAAGTAATAAATAAACAAATAATAAATAAACAGATATGTAATTAAATAAATAAATAAATAATAACGATAAATAACAGTAACAAATAATAAACAATAGATAAGCAAATAAATAATAAATCTGTATTTCCTTTTCGTAACCTTCATTCATCACCTGTAGTCGAAAGCCCAACTACCGCAAACACGTTCTCAACCGGTCATCAGAACTCTGGCCGCCCACGATGTCAACAGGCAGTATATTTGTCTCGAATTAAGCAAATATAAAGCGATAGTGAAACGGTATTGTGGAGAGGAAAGGTTAACGGTCCGAAAATATTCCAACAGTGAATATGTGGTCTAAATTTTTTTCTTACGGAATTTCTTACGGAATACCACGAAACAACGTGACATCTGAGAAGAAGGACTTTTAGAAAAGGATACTACTAATTGCTTTCGTCTGGAATTCTTTTTTCCTTTTATAAGATGTTATACGCAGAACGGAGGAAAATTTCACACATGAATACCTGATTAGCACTTTGCGCAAACTCCCCTTTCTATTCGAATGCCGATTGTGTGCCTACTTGCCGATTGAATTCCTACTTCCTTCCCTTCTGGATAGTCTCCATATTTCCGTAAGAGTATTGTTGTTTGCTCGAAAGCTTTGCTGATATGTAGTTAACGCAGAGCGGTGTAAAATGGAGTAGACTATGCCAGTACCGTCGCTCTTTTTGTACTGATCCGTTTCTATGTCTTTTCTTTGATAGGTCTATTAATCGAATAGCTAAGAAGAGTTTTTTTTTACTGGATTCGGCTTACTACGCCTACAGAGTTGATCCAAATCTCTTCCACAGAGGAGACTCAGCTTTTGATACGAATAGCTTCGTCTGAGTATCCATTCGCAAACACTGATGTCATCAAGTGCAATCAAGGTCCTCAGTCCGCCGTAACGAATACCTGAGGTGCTTATCAGCTGTCTCGTTCCAGCCGCACACTACCCGTATGCTAATGGCTATAGCTCCTACAATTTGCAAGTTAATTACTTCCGGTGCATGGCTACTTTTTATGATTAATGTGAGGTTTGCTTTCGGAGAGGAATGTATTAAGTGCCCTAATTTTATTAAATTTTAATTTTACTAATTTTACCCTTTTCCTGATAATGGTTTTTTGTTAGGAGATGGTGATTTTTCGATCACTAGAGCACTTCAGTAGTTCAAAACTTCATAGAAGTGACTCGATCCACTTCCTCTATTTTGATCTGTCTTTTGCGTGGGAATTGAAAGCGCATATTATCTTCCCGTGACTCCTATAGAGGTGACGTACTTACGTCAATGTTAATTGGTATAGAATTACCATCCCATTAATTCTAGTTCGTGTAGTTTTTCGTCCTTGGATCTTCTACTTGTTTTTGTTTCGTTTCACAAAAGCCTCCATATTCGAGAAAAATAATATTAGCAGAATACATGAATACGTATTAGATGTACTTCTGCTGCATTTAGCAAAAATATTTACATGAGATGAAATGTGGTGATTAGGCAGCTCCATGGTAACTCCTCTTCATCTATTCAACAATCTGTGTCGACTCGTACGGATTCTGTAATTGATGGACATTATGGCTCTATCGCACTACGCTTGCTGTTCTTCGCCCTCATTTTCCTTTTGTACATGGAACTGAAACTACTCAAAGCTCTTTATGATTTGAAAGACCTTCGATAGTTCTGCGTGTAAGTGTTCGTTTGGATTTGATGTCAACTAGCCAACTTTTAGGTGTCTTTGTATTTCCAACTAGGAATTGTGTGAACGTGCAGTGTGCTGCCAATCTGTGTCTCTTAGATGTTCGTGCAGACTTCTCAGAAGTTCATAGGTCTATTTCAACTCCTTTACTAAACGAAAACTTTATGGTGTTGCAAAACGAAAGCTCTCTGACTTCGCTAGACTTTTCCATTAGTCATAAGGTGTATTTGTTCTCCACTTTTATAAAGTTCTATGGTGCTTTTCGAGGTGAGAACTTCTGTGCGTTCACTTCTTTTTCAGTGACATTTACGATTACCGTTGTGCGACAGTGAGGTACTCCATTACTTATTTGCTTAAACACTGCACATTATAGAGAAGATCTTAAGTCATCATTCAGTATAGTAAATAGTCTCCATAAACGATTTACGCCTCATCGTGTTTTAAGATGCCCTTGGATATCAAGTTGTGGAACATGGTGAAGCTCATCGTCCGTTTCTCAACAACAGCACCCAACCCGAGTAGCCAGGAATTTCGGCCCTGAAACTCAGTTAAAATTCAATCGGTGTCAGTCCTGTAAGAACTTCAGTTGCATGGAGAGAATTCTTTTTTGCACAAGGAGCGACGAATGTCTAGGGTGACGACAGATTCCGGAAAGTCGTGGAAAGTCATGTCAGAATAACAACTCCCCAATTAAGTGGAAAATTTGATTGGACTGGCAATAACTGGAGGTGATTCGTGTAGGGCCATTTACCAAACAGTACATCAAGTACTATGAAGCTCATCATTAAGTGGTGATTCTAATCGTTTTGTAGTAAAGTGCAAATGGTTACTCTTTGGAGAAAAGTCGCGCATCCATTACCCACAAAAGTTTTTGAATTTGCATGTAGGTTTGATTGCTTTTCCAGCATTATCGGCCTTTTTTACAAATGTCGTTGAATGTTTGTCGAGTAGATATTCTATGGATTCCCGCCATACCCGTGGTAGAGCTTTCCTAGTTTTTTACCATAGGTATTTGTCGGTTTTATAGAGCACAGGGAGCTTCCCAGATAAGTCTGGTATCAAAGACCCTATCCAAAATGGATGGGGTTGGTTAGCTTGGAGCGGAGTCAGACAGATCCTTGTGTATGTTAGTGAACGAAATCGTTACCACTGCGCTATTCTCTACCTAGTTGAAGGAATTGTGTAGGAAAATTCCATCAAAAACCTTACCTGATTGGCTCTTCCCGGACTTATTCAATATTCAAACGTGTTGGTGATATAGCAGCGATACGATTGGCATTTGCATTTAATCAAGAATGTGTTTGAGATTTCCTCATCGTTTTTCGTTTATGCTCCCTATATTGTATCGTCGTTCGATATACCAATGCGAATTGAGAGTTTCTAAAATTAGTTTGGGATTAAGCTCATTCTATCTTTTAATTAAACTTGTTATCTCTGTAATTTCCTCAGATGGAAAGTGCACCGTCCTCATCAGGTGAAAGAATACGATTAAACCTTGGTGGAACAATTTTTGAGACCACACTTACGACACTCACGAAAATCGAAGGCACTGTGAGTTCTGAAGTTTGTCGTTTCCTTACCCTTCTTGTACCTTTCTTTTCAGGTGCTTTCTACAATGGTTGCCAAACGTTGGCGAGGTCATGGTGAACTATTCATCGATCGAGACCCTACCCACTTTTCCAAGGTAAATTCCCCTCTGTTTATGTTGAATCCATTGTTTAACTCGAAGACTTGAGCTGGATGAATAAAGCTCAGATTTTGAACTACTTGCGAGATGGAGACGAGTTCAACGTTCCGTTGGATAGAGATGTATGTGACGAGCTACGTAGAGAGGCGCAGGTACCTCGGCTATATGAAACAAAAGGAAGTAGTCATTTGAAAAACATTTGTTCCTCCTTCACATATTTTTCTAAACCTGTAGAAATGAGCTGAAAAAGTAGCTTATACATCAAAAATCATACCCATTCATTCCAGTGGAAAAATTTAGTTTTACAACCTACCTGGGCTAGTCGAAATGTGCTTGCCTCAAGTACTTAACGTCGGTGATGAGGTTCAGTGGAAAAAGGATGCGGTTGGTCTCTATTGGAGATGCTTCGTTAGGTAAGTTTCACACAGAATGTTTTCAATAAAACCAACATCTCATCATTCGTTGAATACCATAGGAGAAGTATAACTATCAAACTCGGAGAATATTCCAGGTATATGGTAGATGACTCTCTCACACTGCCATTCATATACGACAGGTAAGAGCTAAATTTTCCAAAGCGAACAGACATTATTTAGGCATGCTACAAAATCTATCTTTTACCTGTAGGTTTTTCTTTCTAGGCATCCGGTTTTTTCCTCTAAAACTAGAATAGTCGAACTGGTTTTGGTGGTAGTGAATTCAAATCTATGTTTGAGTCACTATAAGCGTTATAAGTTGACATTCAGAAATAATCACACGCTGGCTAGGTGTATCGGTTGTGAGGAATACCAGGATCTGAAGTGTTCGTACCATTACGACATCAACTACGAGGACTGGGAACCGATGAAACACCACATGCTGCTCATGCGAGGCGAAATTATTCAGGTTCTTTCTTCCGTTACTGTATTGCTGGTACATGGTTTGGTTTTTGGTGTGAAGGAATATCGCATGACGCAGTACTAATTCGAAAAAGAAAACCGTGAGAGGAGTACTGAATCGGGTCGGTATTTTTCCAACAGTTCCTATTTGCAAAGAATAACAAAAAGAGTTGTTGGAATACAAGCCCAGTATTCTAGAAGTGTTTTACTAACGAAACTGACATAATTCTTTTCGTGTGTATAGCAGCGCTAACGAACCAGTCAGTGATATTGGTGTGCTAGTAACGCCACAATGCTTTACGCCGCGGAAACTCGATCACCCAATAGTTGGTACAAAAGCACTTTATTGTTAACTAGTTAAACTCTTGCAAAGTATGGAATAATTAAGTAAGAAGCATACTGCTAACTCTTCGAATCCTCTCGACGGTTTATCGCCTCATCGTGGTTAGGAGATGTTCCTGGGAGTCGAGCTGCGATGTACAACGAGGAGATCCATCCTATCGTGCAGGGGTTTCCAAAGTCTAGAAGGAGCCTGGCGTTTCCATCGGGTAGCCTAGCTAAGGGTAAAGCAATACCAGATTTGACACCACCAGTTTGATGCCACCATCCTGGTATCAAACTAGTCAAATGGTAGTAAATCTCTCTCTGATCCACAAGGGCTGCGACTGCCTGCGGTGGTGAAGACCTGAGGCAGACTTTGGCCAGGTTGACCTCGGCACTCTAGGGAACTATAATGGCCTAACCAGCAGAACTCTGAAAAAGTAGAGCATTACTCGAGCTTTTCGCCAGATATCGGCTCAAAAATTGATGCTGATCTCTAATCGAGCAAAATTTATCCCTACTTTCGAAGAGCGTTTGCTTATTTATTACATAGTCATTAAATCAATCGGATTAAGTAACCAATGGCAAAAAAAATTCAGGAAAGAATATGACAGCAGAAAATATATTTAATGGCTACTTAAATGTAATGAGCGTGATTTTTTTGTGCTGAATTGCCATACTAAATTATTCCCAGATGTCTTTTCGTGCGTAATACGGTAGATTCTTAAGCGTATACTTTACCAGATTGCTCAGAAATTAATGTAGCATTTTTAATCTGCACCTCTAAAGTGGCATATCGAAGCTCAGAACAAACTTTTTCATTAGCCCATAAAGTCTGGTATGAACAACATTGTGTTCATAACGGTTTGGACAGGGGCGGTGTGATCACTACTGTGTTCATATTTAGCTAATACGTAACAGAGTTTTTTAAAATAAATATCTGTGTAAATTACAAAATTTCTTTCTTATTCATTTGATTGCCAGTTGAAACCAAATCAAATAGTAGGGGTGGGACCAGAAAAACTGCTCTCTACATCTAATGACTCACAGAAAACCTTTTTCTGGTGAAAGTTTGTTAACCGGCAATTTGACTATCGATTAACTGCTATTGCATTTTAATCAGTACGATTATTATATGAGATGTAGAGATATAGAAAAGCACCCAGATTGAATGAATGTAAGATGCAAAATACTTCCAGGTTCTTACAGCAACGTATGTGGAGAATGCACCGGGGTTACACTTAGTAAGTAGTAGTATGCATATCATTCACACCAATAGAACGGTAGAGCAAAGTCTTCTTTGCAAGTCTATCATATTCACAACCACTAAATTACTCCATTTATTAAAAAACTATTTCTTCTTATCAGAATACCAGAAATTCTGCGGTTGAAGAAAAATTGATTGCTCGTTCTCTATTCGGAAAACCAAATGTAATAGAAATAAGAACCATTAGAATCCACACAATTTTGCCAAAGGGCAACAAGTTTGTCTACTCCGGCTGCACAAAACCGTGACGTTCTAGAGGCGATGTAGTCATTGAAGGCAGTTTCGGTTTTGGCTTGGTTTCTGAAGCATTTATCACACAGCAAGCTATTGAATTACTTGAACAAATGGTAGTTGCTAGGTGAAAGATCCGGTGACTGTGGAAGATGAGGCAGAGTTTTGTAGCCCGGCTCGTTCAGTCGTTGCAAAGTCGGTAGTAAGTCGTGTGGCACCACATTATGGTAGAGAAAGATCACCGGGTTCGCGCAGCACCCATTTGTCGAGGTTTTTCGACTTTCCTATCTTTCTTAGATACTCTAAAATAGTTTGATGACTAAACAGATTTCTTCTACAAGTTTTTGAACAGTTACGCGTGAATTTGCATTCGAAGACGTCTTCAATTCATCATCATTAGTAGAGGATGAACATCCCCGGCATTCACTATCGTAAAAAAGAATTGACAAAACCTCTAAAGCCATCGTTGCACTCTGGGTTCACTAACATTTCTTTGGCCCATACTAATATTTAGAAGCGTTCGCGCTGCACTACGACCTAGTGCGAATACGTAGAATTGGATTTGTCGAAACTGTTCTTTCAACAACTCAAATTGCAACCTTTAAAGCTTTCCAAAAATGCAGTTTATACTACAATTCAATTACACGAAGTAAAAGTGTGCGACAAAGCTGAGCACAGCTTATCGGCTTGCCCGTGATACCTGATAATTAATGGGAGCACATGATTTTGTTCGTATTTTTTGAGCAAACGCGAGGTTGTTATTGTTCTTTGTTCACGATTAAGCTGACGTTTCGGCGAATTTCGCCTTCTTCAGAGCCTGGGAAGGTCAAGTTGATAGCAACTCACTCGGCCAGACGCCTCCATAACCAAACAAAGAAACCCCAAACCAAGATTTCAATCACTTTGAACACAGCTTTGGGTGTGAGTGTGCAAAGCTGTGTTCAAAGTGATTGAAATCTTGGTTTGGGGTTTCTTTGTTTGGTTATGGAGGCGTCTGGCCGAGTGAGTTGCTATCAACTTGACCTTTCCAGGCTCTGAAGAAGGCGAAATTCGCCGAAACGTCAGCTTAATCGTGAACAAAGAACAATAACAACCTCGCGTTTGCTCAAAAAAATACGAACAAAATCACTTGATCAATGCCGAGGTTAATAGAAAGTCGGTCGTGGCAGTTAATGGGAGCACAGCTGTTGCAGGTGGTGATATTGTGAACTAACCACATCCATCCACCTGAACGATGCTACGAATGCAATCGAATGCGTAGCATTCCTCAGGTGTCGATCAATTCTACCGACTTATCATCATTTCTATCATAATTAATTGATATTCCAGCTAATGGGCGATCAGTGTTGCATTGTTTCGTGGGACAACGGCCAACAGATTCATCTTCCGAAATCGGCCATCCACAAAGCTGATCCTATTTGATCCTCGTCCTTTCAAGGTACAGCTCTCTCTTCAGGTTTTTCTCCGCAAGTCTGAGACACCGTTGTTGGAACATTTTACTGTATAATCCATTCGAAGACCTTTTATTGATGTTCCTCACACCTTTTCTTTTCATATTCGTTGTTATGTCGAAAACCTCATGAATCTTGTTATGACAATCTCATCAGTTGATTGTTACTACATGAGCGATTGCATTTAATTACGGTAATATTGCTTTCTAAGTGAAGATGTAAAGTTTTTAACTATTTGTTTTTTCGTTGTGCAGAAGGGGGTAGTTTCAAGACTGCATTGCTAGAAATCGGAAATTCCTCAGAAGCGTCTCAAAAAATACGAAATATAGGTAATGGGCCGTAAAAAGCAGGAGAAACATTATGATTAATGTGTTGAGGGAGTACTTGCTTATGAGTGGGGTACCACATCGGAGTCGCGTTGTGCTGAGAGTTTCAGCCGATAGAAAAACAACGGATAACGTTACTTCCGCTGGTGGAATCGAGAGCAGTAGTCAAAACTATTTTGCAATAAGGTATGTGAATTTAACCACTATACCATTCCAAAGAAGGGTGCGTGCGTCCCAGTGATCAGGGCGCCTGAAATACACATGGGATCGATCGAGGATAGCAGCACTGGTTTGATACAACGGTAGGCCACCGGTAATGTAAAGACCAGATATGTATTCAATCACCTCCAACGATGCTTAGTGAAATCGAATGTACGGCTCATCCCTCAAGGATAGATCAAGGCCGAGAAGTTTATCCTTTATTATTAACCTTCCCAATATGGAAACTTAAGATATCTTTACGGGGAACCACAGAAACTGAACCAAATTTGAAAAAGCTAGCCAATTTGGTCAATTATACAGCTTTTCCCAATAGAAACATTGTCAAGAACGCTTCAATGTAGTAGTAAATCGAGTAGTGAAGTGGCTAACTTAAATAGGAGACAGTGACAAGGCCATACTCAAGCACGCAGAAATTCTAAGAACAACTTCGTAGCTCATTTAACAAAAGATCATTCAAGAATGTGTGGATAGATAAATTCTGCTCAGCTTTTTACATCGCTCTCAAATGCTCGGTCGACTAACTGCTGGGTTAACTGTCATCCCAGGAATTGTCATCGTCCTGGATGAATCCGAGTCGCAAGGCAGCAAATTTCTCTTCAATCACAACGGCGCAAAATTCACTGTGGTACGACCTTAGTCAGGTTTTCTCGAATTTCCCAAGAAGATCGCGCTTGTCGGCCACGAAGTATTTACATGGGAGAAGGTAGTAGAGCGTCAACTAGTAGGCGAGCGTTCACTTAAATCCGAGTACTTTGTACGACTGCTCCATAACGAGACGAGTGCAAGCAGTGCTGAGACTCGAACCACAAGTAAAGACGGGCCATCTAAGTATACCCCACTATGTCTCATCCAATCTATAGTCTGTCTTTCTCCAGCATATTCTGGGCAATACACCTGCCAGCTTGATAGATAAGGGGCGAAAATGGTCCGGAAGCAAGTTGTCTTGCTAGACATGAGCAGATGGTGATGGATTCCACGTTTTCGACGATGTTTGTGCGCATTGTGTGAATGGTGTTGATTATTCCCTAAAGACTGATCCCGACTAAAGACCACCATTCTGGTGACTGCTGGGGAATAAAAATAAGATTAAGAGTAAATGTATTTATGTCTCCTCCCAACGTATTACCTCCTCATCGTGGCTGGGAGGTGTTTCTGGGTGTCAGACTGCGATCTACAGCGGGGTATTGACCCCTGGCAGGGTCTCCCAAGCTGAGAAGGAGTCCGGCGTTTCTATCATGAAGCTTAGCTAAGAGTAAACCAATACCAGAATCCGCCACCGTCCTGGTATCAAAGTCGCATGATGGCAAAGCTCCCTCTGATCCACGAGTGCTGCGACTACCTGTGGTGGTGAAGGCATGGAGTAGACTTTGACCAAGTTGAACTCGGAATTCCAGGGAACCACAATGGCTTAACTAGCAAATCTTCGAAAAATGGAAATTATGCTGAGGCTCCCACAACTAGTGAGAACGGGCCGTTCAAGTATCAAGTATAAAGTAAGAATGAGTTCTTCCATATTACCCTTAACCGAACATGTTGTCAGTCTAAGACTTGCCCTGTTGCTCTGTATGAGATTATATCATTTGCGTGTTCGACATTTGCTTCGTATGGCGACAACAGAGAATTCTTAACGGCGACAGAGATTTCTGTGAAACAGTACAGCTCAAAACTAACAGCTATTGCCTTTGCTAATAATGTAGATCCTTTGGAAATTAGTGTCCGATTTCAACCCTTATTCGTAATATGGCACATCTCAGCTGAGGGTAAAGTTTATTAATCGGAATAGAAACCAACCGAATACATATATTTCTGCCAAAGAGAAAAAAGGTTATTTATACCAGTTGTACGTATTCTAGACTTCAAGAGGTGGGTGAACCATTGAAAGCCGTTTTGGTCTCTGCTTCCTTCCTGAAGCATTTCTTGTATAACAAATCATTGAGATGCTTGAAGTGGTATTCAGTAGTTCGATCCGTAGCCCAGTTCGACCAACTTTTGCTGTGTCGGTAATGCGACGTGTGACTACGCATTATCGTGGATAATCCTCTAGAAATTCTTGCGGCATCTATTCGTCAAGCTTCTTCGGCTTTTCAGTATTCTTAAGATGCTCCGAAACAGTTGAGGTGATTACGAGGACTCCTGAAAGTTCACGAATAGTTGTGCCTCCACTGTTCGTCCAGCACTGCCTTCAATTCATCTTCGTCAATACCAAAAGGGTTTCTGCGACCCTCCTTATCCTCAATGCCGAGTTTCCGAGGATGAAGCTTTCCAAATCGACGTTGAACTTTGCATTTGTCAACACTTTCCTAGTCCTATAGCCCATTAATGTTTCGAACCGCTTGTGCTGCACAATTCCAAGCTTGAATTTCTGGAATGAGATTTTCCCAACCGATTTACAGACGAAGTACCCATGGTCGCGCAGAAAGTGTAGAAGAAAGCTAGAAGCCATTGGTTCAGCACTAAGAACTCCGTCTTTTCCACTAAACGCCATGTGCTGAATACCAGTAGTTAATCTATTCACCGTGATTCATTCTCTTGCAAGGTTACTTAAGCTCAGGAGGTCGACGTTTGCACGCACAGAACCTTAACTGAGAGCAAATAATCATTTAAGTCGATGATTCTGAAAAAAAACCTAGTCCTAAGACTTTCTATTAACCTCAGGATTGGTCGAACAATTCCTTATATTCTTGTTGAGCGAACACGAGGTGTTCCTTTATGTGTTTTCTATTTCCTGTTTATCTGTTTCCTTGTTATTATTATAACTATTATTGGCTTAGCGTTTTCTCTGTTTAGTTATGGAGGTGTTCGGTTGGGTGGATTGCGGTTAACTTGACCATTCGAGACTATGACGAAGGCGAAATCCGCCTGAACGACAGCTTGCTCGTAAACAAAGAAGTAAAGTAGTACTTCGTGTTTGCCCAACAAGAATATGAAATCTCGTCGTGGGATTTAAATGTCCACTTCGATGCACAAGAGCAGGTGAGCAGCTCAGTTTACCAACTGGTAACATCCTCACACAATTCTTGATGTTCAAAAAAAGTCTAACTAAATCGGCAACATGACGAACAGAGGTGGAAATCTGCTAGCAATCGCACAGTTCTTTATGAAAACGGGTAACAAAGCTATCAAGTGCCAGAATTCCGAGCGATCTCAAGTACTAACTGTTCGCTTAAGCATCACACCGAAGTCCTTAGTAACGAAAAACCATACTCTTCGCGTAGAGAACCTTTCAAACGACTCTGGTACGAAAAAAAAGGAACATCTGTGAACGTTATTGACATTGGCTTGATTCATTTCATGCATACAAGCAAAAAAGGTGGCACAGCTGAACAACTCGTAGCATTTGCACTTCGGCAGCTCTAATTTCATAGTTGCAGCTTACAACGGTCTACCGCTTCGTTGTGGCTGGGAGGTGTTCTTGGGAGTAGGGATGCGATGTACCACGAGGAGATCTATCCCGTCAGCAGGGCCTCCAAAGCTGAGAATGAGTCCGGCGTTTCTATCAGGAAGCCCAGGTAAGAGCAAACCGATACAAGGAACCACCATCTTTCTTGTAGCAAGCTAGTCGTATGGTGGCAAATCTCCCTCTAATCCTCAAGGGCAACAATTACCTGTGGTGGTGGGGCAGAATGACCTCAGAACTCCAGACAGCCACAGTGGCCAAGTGGCGGCTGCACAACCATTGAAGACGGGCCATCCAAGTATCCAAGTAGGAGGAACTTCATAACAAAGCACGAGGTGCTCGCGCGCAGTCGTGCGGCCGGACGAGTTTTCTTGCGCGCACTCGACCTTATAAACGGCGCGCGTTGGTGATATACGTGAATGATAAACTTGATGTCGTCGGATGACGACATTCGCTTATTTTGCCGTATTGTTTTATGTTGAATATATTTTTGGAAGTAATTTTCGAGCATCGTGTGTTAAGTGCCACCGGTTGCGCGTTTTTCGTATCGTACTGGATGTCCTATTTTATTCCAGGTAGAGTAGTGGAAGCTGTGGGCGTTATTTCGATTGGAAATTGACTGGATGAGCTCCACGAATTCTGTCCTGGGTGAGTCGGTTCCATAGATTGGTCGTCTTGGGGGTTTCTTCTTTCTATAACATGGTTTCTTTTAACTTGCAATCAATACTTGCTTGGATATCCCGTCTTCACTGGTTGTACAGGCTCCAGCATGATTTCCATTTTTTGGGAGTTTTGCTGCTTTAGCTACAGTGGTTCCTTGGAACCCCGAGGTCGGCCTAGCCAAAGTCCGCCCTAGGTCGGCACCAGCATAGCCGGTCGCCACGCTTGTAGGTCAGAAGGAGATTTGCCCCTATGCGACTAGTTTAATACCAGGTCGATGGTGGATCGTGATATTGGTTTGCCCTTAGCTAGGCTTCCTGATGGAAACTCCGGACTCCTCAGTCTGGGAGCTCCTGCCAGGGAATGAATGCCCCGCTTTACATCGCAGCCCGAGTCAGGAAAACAAAAAGTCAGGAAATCATCGCCCCAGGAAAACATCTCAGCCACGATGAGGCGGTAAACCGTTGGAAGGACTTGAAATTAATACTTCATTAAATGGTGGTAGTAGTGCAAGGTGGGCACATTTCACTTTACAGTTGAAACCGCAGATTCTTCTTCTGGAGATGTTGTCGAAGACTGGGAGAATGACGAAGCTGGGGAGAGTATGGAAAAGCAGCTTACAGAGCGCTTTAAACAGGTACATTGTCTTAACTATCTTTTCCTTACTGTTCAGACAAGCTTTCATTATTCAATTTCTTTGTGAAGTTAGGACCAAGACGATATTACGCTTTCATCTTTATGGTAGCCATTCATTCTGATGTATCGTCTTTTTTTTGCCGGGGTATAACAGGTCGTACTAGTACTAATCAGCGGTTGATGTTATCTATGGAGGAACCTTATGTCACATGGTTTACCAAAGATTAAAGAAATGTGGGTTAGTTTTCATGGAGTTGCGACTTCTTTGTCTCAACTCCGTTACATGTTTTTTCGAAAATTGTAGAGATGTAAGTTAGTTGTTATGGAGTTGTTCCTTGCTTACCTCAGCTTTGTAACAAACTTCATCGGTAAGATTGGTGCTTTTGTTGTTAAGATCCGAATTTTACAAAGAGCTCAGGCGGATAAGGAAGCTCGTAAAGAAAGAGCCGCTCGATGTCAAGAGGAGGCTAGATTGAAGTATGCGCTTTCTTCAATATCTCGAAGGTTTAGTGTTTCCTTATTGAGATTATAAAGTTGGTTTTAGCGCATGTTTCTTATCGACATCGTCCATAACCCCTACTGGACCAGGAGGCGCTCCACCTGCTCCGGTTAGAATCTTGAGACGTCCAGAAAGTAGTGACAAAATTAGGGAAGAGAAGTTCCAAGCACAACTTGCGAAGGCTGAAGAGGCTGCTCGAAATCAGCTGACTCCTGAGGTGCTTATATCTAACGATTTTTCATTTTTTGCATATTACTAGGTTTTTTCATATCTGATGTTTACGTTTTAGCAAAAGGAGGCATTGTATGTAAAAGCGCGCGATCGTATCATGGGACCCGAGTACAAACCTGATAATTCGCAGAATGCACAAAACGTGGCGATTGTTAGTAGGTGTGTCAGCCGGATTTCATTTGCTTATTAATGTTTGTCCTCCCGAGTTTCTTTATGGAATTTTGGGACTAAAATACTGGATGCTTTTAGTTAGCTTTCTGTGAAGACGCTCGTATGAAACATGTTTTATTCTTTCCTGCTGTTCGTAATTAAATCTTAACCACATCATTTCGTTTGTTTGGGAGCACTCTGATCTAGGCCCAAATAATTTCCGTCTTCAGATTTTTATTTCGGAGGCAGCCTTAACTTTTTAAGTGAACTTTACTTTGCGGAGGTTCTGTGAAGTACTTGCAAAGATTAATGGCATAACGTTACAGACATCGATGAGATTGTTGGATTTAATAAAACAAGCTATTTCTTATATTGACCATGGTCGATTGAGATCGTTGAAATTATCTGGAATATGAAATGTTTGGTGGTTCCAATGTAGCATGGGCTATGGAAATATTCAAAGTAGTGGAGTGCATAACTGTGTTTGAAAACTGATTTTCCTTTAACTTCGGCTTGTATAAGATTTATATATAATCTTTACTATGCTAACGTCTCGACGTGTTCGTCTTCATGAGAGCCAGTAGTCGTATATTGAGGCGTGCTCACCCGGCAATGCTCTTTTATACGGGACGGGTGTTGTTTATAATGATCTTCCGCTGATACAAGGTCAACAAACCCTCTATCCTGCAGCAGTCGGTATTAAACCCGAAGATTTGACTCGATAGAACGACAAAGACACTGCGACGAAGAAACGAACGGCTGTGGATGATCGACTCGTATCATAGGCTCTAAGAAAGGGGAAGACGTCGAACCGTTAGCCGAACGATTATTTGGTAAGAACCTTGTGTAAGGTAATCAAAGAAAAAATACATGCTTGAAATAATGTTGAGGTTTGAAGATGATTAATCGAAAAATCTTTATACAGTTATTTCCACATCTTGCAGTTGTTATTTCATATGTTATTTGATGACAGATTGGTTAAAATATTCGCCACTTTTTCTTTCAGTATTTATTTAGTCTTTTGCGTTGTAGGCAGGATTTGCTTTTCTTTTGAATTGTCATTGTTTAGGTGCAAGTCACCGGAGCAGATTCGAGTTCCTCGCTTCACTGATCTCCCACTAGCAGGAGCTATAAGCGCTACTTCACATGACGTCAATATTGGCAGCACTATCATGATGGCATCAATGGGCAGTGTGGCCGGTGTAGCTTCAGCCAGTACCGTAGGGACACCGATCGCAGCTGCACAGCAGTCAACTCAGCAAACTCCCACATCCCTTTTGACAATGTCTTCTGCTCCTGTGGGAATTCCGGTGCAACAGACAAACGCGATCACGCAAGGTTTGAACCAGCAAGTGATGGGTCAGCAACAAACGTGTCTGGTTTCGTCGCCACAGTCGTCAAAAACTATAGGTGCATATCCGCAGTATGTCATAGCCCAGCCACAACAACATATACCGTTCTCTATGACAGTGGGTGCAAATCAGGTGAGTTAATCTTTGAGTTTTAATACCATGAACCAGTTTTCAATTCACGCCATTGAATCAGCCATCTTCAATGTTAATCTTTTACTTACTGCCTTCTACAATTTTTCACGGCAGGATATTATGTGAAATATAGCCATAATGATGCTGAAATATTTGCAAAATTCCGGACCGCAGATGTATCCGGTGGGGAAAAAATATGGTCAATCATTCTCTTTAACTGATTGCGGGATAGTAATGAAGCTTTTCTGAGCAATTCCCATCCTTCAAGATTTTTTGCATAACTATTTCTCGATACCTAAACTTGCCATGCCATTTTAAGAGCATGTATGTCTTTTCCTAGATTTTGCATTCTTTTCCAGTTGTAGTTTTGCTGAAGAGTGGAATTTTGGAAAAAAATTGACGAAGTGCTGGCTTTTTAACTCATGAGCAGCGTCCGAAGATGTCAGTTGGGGACTCCAGTAGATGCTAGATGAAATCCCACCTTTTCTATCGCTCCTGTCTTCAATCCAGCTTCATTGAAAAAGAAGCGAAAAGAATAAGACTGTTCATACGTGGCAGAGGAATATCCTCATGGTGGAATAAACAGATTTGCTTCATTTTGGCAAAGATATGTGTTTTTAATGGTTTTTTTTATAAAACGATAAGGTTTAATATGAGCAACGTTTGTTTAAAGTTGAGGAGCGCAGTTTTTATTATTGTTATTATTATCACTGTTATATTATGTTTGTTTCTGTCGTTACCGTTATGATTACTATCATTATCACTGGCGCATGTACTGCAGTGGTTGGAGGCGCCCTGCATACACTTAGGAGTGATCTTCGCGCCCAGGCCCAGCAAGCTCTCCATCCCTCCATAGTCGGAAAATTGGTACCGGACTTGTCTGGGAGGATAGCAGCGCTAGCTGGCTTACATCGGTTGGCCACCGCGAGTCATTGTAAAGGCTAGATATGCATTCAATCACCTCCAAACGGTGCTTAATGAAGTCGAATGTGTTGTGCATACCTCAAGGATAGATCAAAGCCGAGAACCTTATCCTTTATCCTTTTTTATTATTATCATTATTCGTATATTATGCTGAGATATTTGCAAAACTCCGGACCGCAGGTGCATGCGGTGGGGAACGAACTGCGCTGTTGTCCTTACCGGGGAGCAGCGCACTTCACCACCACACCATCTGGGTCTCCCGTTGACGAGTGATTGCTGATGGCAAAAAGATCGATTGAACTAGCTGAGAGACAGGCAAAACGAAAAAGAGACCCGGATGGTGTGGTGGTGAAGTGCGCTGCTCCCCGTTAAGGACAACAGCGCGGTTCGTTCCCCACCGCATGCACCTGCGGTCCGGAGTTTTGCAAATATCTCAGCATTATATACGAGTTATATTTCGCAACATACCCTCCCATTAAAAAAAAGGCAGTAAATAAAAGGGTTAAGATTATCATTATTGTTGTTATTGTTAATTATTATTGTTGCTTTTATCACTATTTTGAGACGCCCGCATCGAAGTAAAGTGCATGTTCGACCCTGTGTTGAGCAACAAAGTATTGAATACAAATATGTTTTCTCCTTTATCGAATGTATCAATTATCCAGTTATGTATTGGAAGTAATGCACTTGAAACTATGACAGTTGCAGTCGATGGTGCCATTTATTGACACTACACGTCCTCCACCTGCAGTGTCGTCCATAACTGGGCATGTGAATCCTTCGCAAGTAGCAGCAGTTCCTCTTGCTCCAGTTGGTCGAGGGTATTACAATCCACCAAATGTTATTCCCAGTACGGGTCATCATCAGTTACGTCATAATATACCTCAACAGCAACAACAACAAGCCGGTTTACAATATGTGTCAGTGGAGTCGTGTCTTATCTTAGAAATGTATTGTTTATATATCTTTTATTGGAAATTCACGTTGTAACTGTTTAGATCACCAGTGATGTCGATCTATCCTCCAGGAAGTTTAACAGCCGCAATGCGAGGAGATCCTGGTGGTGTTTCTTCGGTATTAGTAGGTAGCGCGCAGCATACTACGAAAAAAACCAGAAGGAGTCGGAATAAACGGGACAGTTAATTGCTATATGCCATTCTGAACCTCCTGATCTTTCTGGAAATCTCGCCTTTTTATTGTTTAGCCATATTTTCTGGTGTAAGAATGTAATAGCGTTTCTCGGGGACGTCGTCGTGTTGATGATGATGCTTCTTCTTTATTTTTTTTATTTTGACAACCATGGAAATGCGGGTGCATCATCTTTCATTTAATTCGTTATAGTTGAAATGTTTTTATACGATGATAAGGAGTTGCGAGGAACACAATATGAGAATGTCGAAGTTAGAAGCACCAGTGAAACAGTGGGTATCCACTGTGGTTTTCGTTAATCTGGTTCTTTGAGCCTATTCAGTCTCTTTTTCACTTTCATGATGTCCAAATCCTCAAGAAGTCCTCTACACTTCCGTCCTTCTATCACCGCTCCTTAGTCTCATGTACATCATTGTAACTATGTTTGCATTGCTTAGTTGAGAATATTCGTTGAGTATTTTGTTTTCTTACGAGACTTCGGCGCGTATTTAAGATCTGCTACGTTTAAATCCTGAAATTTCGGTTCGTAAAGTCTGTGATACATGATGAACAATCGTGGAAATATCCACGATCTTTATCGATTACATTTTGCCCAGTAGGGTACATGGTGTCCCTCCTCAGCAAGGTTACCTCCACTCTCAACCTTCATGTGTAAATGATTGGATTCATATTGTTTTTACAAGTGTTCAGTAGTTGAAAATAATACCCAGTGCTGATTACATTGGAGATTATATATATACAATTTTATCTGTTTAATAAATTAATTCATTTGTTGTAAAATCTTGTGTTATCGATTAGTTTTATGGAAATTGAAGACATCACTGGAAAAGCAATAGGAAATGCCAGCTAAGCTATAATCAGAGGGAAGAAATTCCTTATATGTGTTTATTTCGTTGATAAGCTAACACGAGGCTGATGTATATCACCTATATCAGCCTCATGTTAGCTTGTCTTTAAAAAATACACGTTGATTACTCACACAGAGGTTATAGGAAAGTCGGTTTCTGAAATATAATCTACTCTAAGAGTCGGGGCGTGAGAGACTGAGGTAGGATTTATATATGGTAAGGGTTCTAAGTGACAGATCAATCTATTTGGTTTGGATGTTTGGTTTGCTTGGAGATAAGGACGGATATATACGAGGTGATGAGGTCGTCCATTTTGTAACCCTGAAACATTTGTTTTAGTTCGGGCTGTAGCGTGTTAGTTTCTACTGCTTCAGACTGCACAGAAAGTCGCTTGACACTTCTATGTGTTTTCTAAGATTTCAAACTTACCATGGTTGTATCAAGTAGGAGTTTTTTTCCTTCCTTGCCCCGTATTCCGTTTTCGATTGTTATGTTGAAGTATGTGTTACCACTAGTCCAATTACAAATTACGTTGAAGGGGTACTGAAATGAGTTTCATTCTCGCTTTACAAGATAGGTTTTTCCTCTCTATTTATCTTATGTGGAGAAATGCGCACGGTTATCCCGTCGAACGAGGGCGCTCGAGGGGTTAGTTGTTGAGTGAAATCTACAAGCCTGTTACTAAGCGGTGTCCTGTTACGCATATCCAGGTCTTTAGATGAAGCACAACCATCTGCACAAGCACGATCTCGACAAGAATTCTGCTTCATGGACCAAGTCGAAATCGTATCCTGCTCATAGACGTTTGTTAGAAATACCACCTGCCTTTGTCATAACATATATCGACTGCAAGAAAGTCCTTGAAAGCGTTGAAATGAATGCAGTCCTGCAGCGCTCGTCGACCAAGGAGAGAATTCCTCGTTAATACGAACAGTAGCTGACTGTGATCGGAAAGTAGCACAAATATTCAGCTTTTTCATTGACCCTTACTATACTCACAAACTGGATAGTTCTCTGATTATAGAGACCACCTTACACATTGGGTGTTCAATGAACATGAAGAAACACGTGAAAGAGGAATTAGACAAGGAGAGCGGCATGGGGCGCATTAAGCCTCACAGAAAGCCACCGACCAACTAAGAGATCTATGTCTCCGCGCTCTCCTTTTTGGTTCACTTGTCCTTCCAGCACTCTGTGCATCAGAGACGTGAACTGATGCTTTCATTAGGTCAACGATTCTGTGTGCCACCGATACAGGCAGTGGTTGAACGATTTCTTCTCAGATTTTGGCTGCAATTTAGCGAGAATGCGGCCGCAGATCTGTGAAACCTACTCTATCTTTGAGACCCGCGGGAACGTACACTGATAGCGAAACAGATATGCCTGTTATATAATAAGTGTAGATGAAATGGGCGAAAAGAACTTTAGAGTGAACCCCAAGGGGACATAAGCGTCCTTTCGGAAGATCGCCGAAGTAATGGGTGGATGTGTTGGTGTGCAAATGGAAATAATTAAGGAATCACGGAATGTGCCTCGAACACCTTATCATACTCGAAGCAGACCACCACTACGAACTCTGATTGCGCTAGAAAGAAACGATTGGAGGATGTGCAGAGGCCCGTACTACTGGTTATGAGAGACTGTCCTAGGATCCAACTGTTTGTCTTGTCATATCAATCAAGAATACATTGAACTAATGAGAAAGAATCGACAGGATGTCGGGCTGACTTATCGTCAGATATTTTTTAAATCAGAAGTTCTCGATTACCTGAACCACAGTGGTACTCACCTGCGTGATAAGCGTTTTCGACTCTCTGTTATAGAGGTGCAGTCCTTTATCGTTGATAGCTACTAACAGTTTGTCAGGTAAGGAAAGGTCTGAATATTGTGAAACCTGAAACAACGAGAACGATTGCTTTAAAGTATAATAAAACTTCTAAAAAAGCATGGGTTTGAACTACTACTGAACTCACTGGGAAAAAGGCTGAACCAAAGGTTTCCTTCTTGGAAATAACCTCGATGAACTCGGTTTTCGCTGCATCTGATGTCAAATGCTCAACTTTCATGTATGCGGAGGAAATTAACTGAAAGCAGCGATGGTTGGTGAAGAAACGTTCTTTTGCTACTAGAAACACATTGCAGGAGATGTAACTCGATTTCACTATTATTTTCTGCGATTTGTGCTACCTAGTGGTTTTAAAAATTTTACAGCTGCAAGACGACAGTGGACCCATGAGATGGAATTGCTGTCACTGCTTTGCCGGACCAGTAAGCACACACCTACACATTACTTGATACTTGAACGGCCCGTTCTCACTGGTTGTGAAGCCCCCAGCATAATCTCCACTTTTCGGAGATTTGCTGGTTAAGCCATTATGGTTCCCTGGAGCCCCGAGGTCAGCCCGGCCAACGTCTGTCCCAGGTCTTTGCCACCACAGGCAGTCGCAGCTCTTGTGGATTAGAGGGTGTTTGCTACCATGCGACTTTGATACCAGGACGGTGGCGGATCCTGGTATCGGTTCACTCTTAGCTAGGCTTCGTGACGGAAACACTGGACTCGTTCTCAGCTTGGAAAACCCTTCCAAGGAGATTAATCCTCCCCCGCTGTACATCGCAGCCCGATACCAATGAACACTTCCCAGCCACGATGAGGAGGTAAACTGTTGGGAGGTCTACACATTTATGCACATATATTCATGGATGGGTGCTAGGCAGTGTTTACTTATATGTCCATTGTAGCAGTGTCCATCGTATGTGGATTCGCCAATAGAACGTAACCAAATGAGTAGGAAGTACATTGTATGAGATTCAGAGTTGCGTGTAACAAAGAAATCCTTCATTAACTTGGAATCTCAAAAAATTGTTCGTGAGTGTATCCAGCGCCACATCAAAGCCTATCACCTGTTTCATATGTAAGCTGATTAAACATGAGGTATATTTATTTATATGATCTTATAAATTGATCTTCTTAGGTAGATGCGAGGTTGGTACAGGTCTTCGTTGTCGTTGTCGTTGCTATTGATGTTGTCGGTCGATGGCTGATGTTTCGGCGACTTCGCCTTCCTTAGAGCCTGGACGTACTTTATGTTAGAATACTTTTTATTATTCGGTGGAAAAGAAGGTTAAAGTATTAATGAAGATCAAACTTTCAAATAGACGCCATATTGAACAGAAAGGCCACTCACCGTGATGTTACGTTTGGGACTAGCCCACACGTAGTTCACGTGTGGTCGCGAGCAAGATACGCCTCAGGGTCAAAATATCATTTTGAAATAGGGCGGCAGTTCACGCGTGATAGTGAGGCATTCGTCTTTCCGCGTTGATGTTTTTAATTTTCTGGGCTTGGATCCAGACAGTCACTTCAAAATCATCGCCGTTGTGCTTTTGCGCCCTCTGCGTACCTAGAGGAGTGTTTTGACGGATTTTAACTTTTCCATCTAGATGTTATTTTATGCGGACACAAAGTGGTCTACCCGTTTCCCCGTTATATTCCTCACCGCATGCATTACATGAGATCAAGTATATTGTGCCTAAACTCATGCAATCCCAGTCTCTCCCGTTAGCGCAGATCATGCAGTTTTCTCAGCTGCACAAACGATCATAGAGACGGTTGCGAACTAACTGATGGCGTAGGGTATTGGATGGGATGTCAATAATCGTTACATAATTTTCAAGACCACTTTTCTTAAGCGCCTCTTAATGGCGTGACTTACTTCATTTGATATGAAGGGTAGCTTAAAGGGAATCTTACGTACGTCCGAAATATTATTTTAGAGTACTACACGTTTTTCTCTAACCCGAGTGGCTTCACCTTCGTAGCAATTGGAAATGGCTATTTTTTGTGGCAGGTTTTGCGATTCCTTCCTTTCCACTTCTCCTATGCACACTTTTTTAGCCGTACGGTACATGTTTTTAATAAGTGCTTTTTTGATGTCAAAACCTAGATCAATATAACTAGCTGAGAGACAGGCGAAATTAAGCAGCCGCATGGTGTGGTGGTGAACGCGTTACTCCCGGAATACATCTGCAGTCGTTGTGCTATTCGAACAACGAAGTCGTTAACGTCTCTATGATCGTTTGTGCAGCTCAGAAAACTGCTTGATCTGTCCTAACGGAAGAGATGGGGACTGCATGAGTTCAAGCATAATATACTTGGTCCCATGTAACGCACGCGGTGAGGAATATATTGGGGAAAGGGATAGACCACTTTGTAGGCGCATAAAGGAACATCTAGATGGAAAAGCTAAAATCCGTTTAAACACCCCTCTAGGTACGCATAGGGCACAAAATCACAATGGCGATGATTTTGAAGTAACTGTGTGGATCCTAGCGCAGAAAACCAAAAACATCAACGCGCAAAACTCTTGAAGCGTTTTGGATAAATTTCAGAAATTCAAAGGTGAACCGGAAAGACGAATGCCTCACTATCATGCGTAACTTGGCGACCTATTTCAAAATGATATTTTGAACCCGGGGCGTTTCTTGCTCGCGTGAGCTACGTGTGGGCCAGTCCAGCACGTAACATCACAGTGAGTGACCTTTCTGTTCAATATGGCGTCTATTTGAAAGTTTGATCTTCATTAATACTTTAACCTTATTTTCCACCGAATAATAAAAAGTACTCTAACATAAATTACGTCCAGGCTCTGAGGAAGGCGAAGTCGCCGAAACGTCAGCCATCGTTCAATAACATCAAAAACAACGACAACGAAGATCTGTACCAACCTCGCGTCAGCTTAAGAAAATCAGTTTATAAGATCACATAAATAAAAGTGTTGTTATCATTTCACTGTGTTTTGGAAGCGTCAAGTACAGATTTATCCTTTTATAGTCATTCCGTTTTGCCTGAATAGATGGCACTGTGCTCATGGACAAAATTCAAGTAGAAACACTACCTCATGGCCTGCCCTCGTGGACAAAGCTCCAATAGAAACACAAACTTATCCAAGAGAAATACCCTTCTATTTAAGTGTAATTCTCGGCAATGAGATTAGAGAAGAGAAAAACGCTAACCTTTTGTGTGGTAAAAAACAGCACCAGCGAAGTGCTTCACTCCAAACGATTTTTGTAATTCGGATTTTGGTTTCAAATACAGCGACGCATTTGAATGAGTAGAGTGCAATTTTTCTAGCATAGATTGATCGGTCCCCTGAAAACACTCATTAAAACAGCAGCGGACAAATCTTAAACGAAGGTATTTGGAATTTGACTCACCTTGGGAAAAATGCTCTCTTCGTCAATTAAAGAAAAGATGTTCATCGGAATGCCGGCGATGAGCTTCAACGTCTCCTGATTGTCAACGAATTTCATTTGCCGCCAATTAATTTGCTCCTAAAAAATTTCCAACGTTAGTTGGCATTCATTTTTTATCAAGATGATGAAAAAGTAATCAAGTCAGAAACTTTATTAAGACATTTTATGTGATCGAAATAAATGCTGAGCTCTAGTGATCTAATCAAAAAGGATAAAGGATAAAGCTCTCGGCGTTGAACAATCCCTGAAAGATGCGCTATACATTCGACTTCAATAACCATCGTTTGGAGGTGATTAATGCATATCTGGCTTTTACAGTGGCTAGCGGTGGCCTACCGATGCATCGAACCAGTGCTGCTATCCTCCCAGACAAGTCTGGTACCAATTTGCCGACCTCGACGGGATGGAAGGCTTGGTGGGCCATGGGCGTGGGGATCGATTTCACGTGTGTTGCGGGGCGCCTCCAAACTCTGCGCCACACGTGATCTAATCAAAATGGTGATGAAATCATGCAGAGGACTACAGCAAAGTCTGGTTGAGGCAAACGAAGTGTCTAGCTCATTTTTCACCAACTAAGTGAGCAGCATCAGTACCCGTAACCGCGACGGAAGCGTTGGGAACGAGGAGCAAGACAATGATTTAAAAGATAATGTTGAGAATGACCCATTGTTCTCCAAAAAGACGAATTATGCTTTTCTTCATCCTCGGTGAAGCAAATACTTCATGTTTAAAGAAATTTTCGCCTTCCAGTTAAGCGGACAATATTGGAATCCGTTATGAAGTATGTTACTTTCTAGGGTATCAAGCGTTAGCATTTCACTGAAAACAGCAGTTGACTACCTGAAATTTATGAAAGGCAAGCTACGTAGTTGGTCAGTAAAACTATTCGAACTCACTTGATTGTATTCGGCCTGCTCTATTTTGAATATATGCTGTACGAAGAACTGCTGAAGACTTTCGTTGGCGTAATTGATGCAAAGCTGTTCGAAACTGTTGATTTCAAAGTGTTCAAAGCCAAAGATGTCCAACACGCCGATTGAATGCCTCTGTGACGGATCGTTTCGAGGCCTGGAACCATGGAACCATGAATTATGCCGCTTCCCCCAAAATGGTGTTTGTGTCCCGATTCTGCTCAATGCTTTTCACCTGCTTAGTTTATATTTTGTCGAGCAAAAATAACAGTAAATTTCAAGCCTTAAGCAAGATCCACAATCAGTAACCCTTTATTTACTGCCCATCCTTTTTCATGGCACGGTATTACGTGAAACTCAAGCACCGCCTTCAGATTAACTGCGTCCAGTGTTAGTTTCTGTTAACAACATCATTCGCGTTGAGGAGTGATAGCTAATACCACCGTTAGAGCAAAAGTTGACTGAGAGAAGGTCCAAAGCAAAAGGTCCTGAGTTGGTGAGGTGGATAGCATGTGAGCTCCCAGAAATGGTAATCACGGGTTCGAAGTCCATCTGAGGTTCCGAGCTTTATTCACATCTCAGCATCCCTCTGGTTGCACTTCATGGTAGGATTACCAAATAATCATGAAATCTTTTAGTCAGCTTAATAAAACCGGAATTGGTTGGAATCGGATTCAGAATTTTGGAAGGATATAAAATAACTTTAATGATGCTGAGATATTTGCAAGCGCTATCATCCTTGCCGGGACTAAAATTGTAGTAGGCAGCAAACGAAAAAGTGAACAACGTGATTTCGATTGCAGCCTCAACTGAACTGGGTTCGTGGCCAATTTTGGCTCCCAAGGTCAATCCCGTTGTAGAATGATTGCTGATGGCAAAAGATCAATAGAACTAGCTGAGAGACAGGTGAAACGAAGGACCTACAGGGTGTGGTGGTGAACGCGTTACTCCCCGGAAAGGACAATAGCGCGTTCGGTCCCCACCGCATACACCTGCGGTCCGGAGTTTTGCAAATATTTCAGCATCATTAAAGTTATATTTCGCAATATATACCCTGCCGTTGAAAAGACAAGGCAGTAAATAATAAGTAAAAATATAAAATAGTTGAAAATCGTGCATATTTTGAAGATCAGAACATGCATGTATATGGTGTCGTTGATTCGTGTGAGAATATAGTCGAAGAGTCGTCCATAGATGCCTTTGGCCAGAGCATCTCGCGTTTGCACCGCTGCTCGAGACGACAGTCTCATCACCACCTTCTCCTCTCTGGTCTCCATCGTCCTCGTTGTAAACGCATTAAACAGATCCTGCTTGCTAACCTGAAACGCTTGTTATTTTAGTTGTATTGCACAACAGATTTTTGGTGGCCGAAAGTTTGTGGTAAGTTGGCTTTTGAAGTGTGTCTCTAAGTGGTGGATGAAGTCCATACAAACAGCAGCCATGTGTTTGCTCTGAAAGCAGGACAATGAGCACCACCAGCACCAAATTTTCCGTTATTTGACTCGACTCTCCTCTGAATACAGAGAAATTGTGGAGAGCTATGTTGATCGCAAAAATTTGGACTAATAAGGCCACACCTTCGTCAAGCTTCTCCTCTAAAGGATGGCTACGAAAAAGGAAGGGAAAATAACATCTTAAACGCTTTCCATTGGCTAAAAGTGTGCCTCTTAACTGTTTTGCTGTTCTAAGACGTGCCTATCCTTATCACTAAACCAAAATCCACTTGTAGAAAGAGTGTTTAATGAGGTAGAGACTTGTCAATCGTTGCGGTTTCCTCTAACCTCTCGTTGTTAAAATAATCTTACACCATCATAAAGATCGACGACAAAGTGTGGAAATTGTCCAAAGCTTCATTAATAGTGAAATAAACTCGTGAATTTATTAGACTATCATCTTATCATACGGGCGCTCAAGACCGTATGGCTACGTTGCTGAACTACGCACGCAATGCAAGCACAGTTGAACTTGTCAAATGCTCTTAACAAGCGATAAAAGAAGATATGACGAAGTAAGAACAGCATATTTCGGTAAAGATGTTGACTTACCATGATCTATATTTTATCTTGGAAACGCAGTAAGACCGAGTTAATTCGTGTATGTCGTCTAAACGTTTTGATAAACTGCTCCTGAAGGATAATGCAACGAGGGAGCAGGCGTTGGAAGAAACAGTGAGTGGTTTACATTCCCGTTATTTCCCTATAGGTTGGGTTGAATCCAGATTAACTCCTACAGCATTTATAGGTGGGGCATGCATTCATCGATACCAAGACCTGTGGATAGGGAGGAATCCACTAACAATGTTCAATGCCTCAAGATTCGAGATACAATGGCTAATAGACAGTAGGTAATTCGGGAATTTCTTCACATTTTTGGTGGAGAACGCAGAACGAGACATGCTGTTCTTGTGTTTTTGGGTTTTCTTGTAATATTCTCAGGATTTAGTTTTTAAAGCTCTACATTTTTCACTTTCTACAAGTTTTTGCTAACCTGAAGTAGTCTTGCAATCCTGGCAACATTCGCCTCATCACTGACCTCCACTGCCTCAATAGTATCGACCACAGTACCTAGAAGGTCAACACCATTTCACTGGGTTGCGGATTCAAGCATTTCTTAAACTTAGTTCTTTCTTACTTCTATACTTAATGTTGCCTATGTGAAGGATAGCTGCAAGTACTTGAATGATGGTCCGAATTTCCGCCTCCTTGAAAAGCAGCATTTTCATTGCGCTACGAATTTCTTCTAGATCTGCGGCGTCGTCACGTCCATCCGCCACAAAACTTTTACCCTAAATTATCCTAAATTCTATTCACTTACTGACTTTGCGCTTGCTTAACATGGAATGGTTTTTCATGAGTTTAACTTATATTGTTAACAGCGAAGAAAAGTCTCAATGAGACGAAAACCTGCTTGAGGATAAGCATTAAAATAATGCTCATTATTTAAAGGCACACCCAGGTGCTCACAATGGAAATAACCTCTTTTGTATGGCAAAAATTATTCATGAAGATAACTGCGTGCTTTATTCATTTGGTAAAGACAGCGATGCGGATGACAGAACACCACAGATCTGTCACGTACGAAGCAGGAAAAAAGTCAGGTCTCCATCTTAAAACGGAATTTAGATCGTATACGAATTCATGCCTCTGACCTGATCTTTGTTCGAAGTTATAATCGAAGACGTAACAGTGTGATTTATTGATCTAGATTTCACCTGTTTCTCGTTATGGAAAATTGACTATTTCGATGACCCCGACGCCGAAACTGCGAATCCATAATGCTAGAAGGATAAAGCTAGAAGCTCTCGGCTTTGATCAATCACTAAGGGATGTGCCATGCATTCGACTTCATTAAGCATCGTTAGGAGGTGATTGAATGCATGTGTGCCTTTTGTAATGACTCGAGGTGATTGCCTTGCGAATTCATAGCACAAGTAATTCTCAATATTGTTGTTGGGCAAACACGAGGTTATGGAAGGTGTTTGGCTGGGCAGATTGCAGTCAGGCCTTTCCAGGCTCTGAGGAAAGCTAAATTCGCCGAAATGTCAGTTTACTCGTGAATAAAAAAGTAAAATAACACCTTGCATTTGCTCAGTAAAAGTTTAAGGAATTGTTTGATCAATTCCGAGGTTAATGGAAAGTCGTCGTTTGAATTCCATAGCACAAGTGTCGACCCATACCCTTTTATCGTGCTAAACAGTTGTAGTTTGTTCACCTTGTATCCATCAACATTTACAAATGACTGCGACGATACGTTTGATTAGGCTTCACGTTGTAAAAGAAACTGGTGCAACTAACACTTCTCCACAGATGATATTGGTACGGACCTCGACGATATACAAAGAGAGATATTAAAGACGGCATACTGTCGATTACTGCTCCTCAGGCCTAACATGAGCGCAGTACAGATTCCTGAATTCTTCGTGCTCGAATACGTGTAAATTTTTGATGCAATACAAGGTCAGACACAGTTCTGAATACAGTAATTACCAAATCCTAGTAGCCAGTGATGAATACGTTTATTCTTGGCATAAAACCATTGTTAGCAATTTCCACACGAGTAAATCGTTACCTAGCCAAGCCAAAACGCGTCATTTGACTCCTTCGCGGTCACGTCTTGAAATACTAAGTCGACTTCGGCGCTCACATGGATGATTAACAAGTTGTCTTCCTTCAGCGATGTGAACTGACTATCGTGAAAGAATTTTTAAACCGACAGTCGCGTGGTTCGAGCGGTGTTCCCTTGAAGAAGATCCGATTCGGTACGCGATGAAGACGCCACTTCGAGAAGACGAACAACTGTGGGCCATCGACAGGGATGATCTGCTTCGATGAAGGCAAAAGCGTCAAAAGGTTAGCCGAACAAATTTCTTCTTCAACCTCGTGTTAGCTCACCAAACCACGAAGGTATGGTGGAAAAATTTCACTGCAAACTTCTTCTTAGAAAGGTTTCTTGTTCATAAACACTTCTTTTTACTTGGATCAGCAGCGTGGGATGTTAAGTGAAAACCACGTGGAGAATTTTTGAATGGAACTCCCAAGGATAGTAGGAAAATACCTTTTTCTCCAAGGTAGCGCTGAATGAGAGTTAGAAGGTCATATAATTGGTCTCTTCGATAGGAAAAACTGACGCAAGTTGATTTAGGCAACACTTTTAGCTTCGTGATGTGTCCCGGCAAATAACCATGTCTACCCACAAGATTTTAAATTTATTTCTTGCTTTTAACACTCTCTTTCGTAACACCAATATCAGCATGGAACCGCCCAAGAATTAACGAATTGGCTTTACTACCATTCCAAGCATGGTCTACTATTTGCCCTTAAGTGTAAGATGTGAGGGAGAGTGTACCTTTAATGATCTGATCGTCAATTCTAAAGCCAAGGTAATTCTAAATATGCAAGCCTGCGAAGGAAATTCATTGGAAAAGGCGTAGAAAGTAGCAATATGTGTTTTCAGCGACCAACATTGTTCAGGAGGGTTTACTACTCATCAATGGTGATCATAATCACAGAAGCAATGATATTGATTTGATAATGAAATATGAGACGCATAAGTTTGAACGCACTGTTTCTCACGCCAGTACGAGCTGCGAAATACCATCGTAACTATTTACTTGCCTGTGTTAGGTAGAAGTAATCAGATAGTCGACCGAGCTCGAAATTGCGTTTTTCTTCACTTGAGAGTCCGGCAAGAATGCAATAGAAAATGTGATAATTCCTCTCACCCTTCGACTGGGCAATAATGCGCGACTTCTCCAGCAAGTACTTCTGAATCCGGGCTCCTGAAATCGTTCTCCATATAAAATCGGTACATTTCGCCAAGAAAAAGTCAACTTTTAGACGAAACATTATTCGTTAGTAAGCACCTTCAATTGAACCGGCCGAATTGAAATGAACTTCAACATATTTTCCGAATCGGGAAGAGTTGTCATTACGCATTGTCTTCGCGTTTCCAAATGCTGAAAACATTCTGTTCAAAATTGAGTCAGTCTTAAAAAAAGACGAATCCGAAACACCTTCGAGGATGGGATTTGCTTCAAGAACTTGTTGTTCAATCCAACTATGCTGACCGCTAGTAGCCGCTAAGAACTGTAGTATTAATTTTGTCGATTCGGTTTTTCCAGCACCGGATTCTCCACTAAAGTGACTTCTCTTATAAATGTACGACGCTGGCGAAATGTCTATAAACAAGATTGGTAATACGTTACTCAACTGGGTAACCCGATTATTCAATAGGTGCTCTGTTTTGCAATGTGAAAGTTTCAAGCAACTGCTTTCATCAAATTATTTTTAGTTGGTGACTTTTCTAAGCAATGCAGGTACACAAAAGTGGAAGCTATTAAGCAGCATATTTTACGTTGTTTTTCTCATATTTAATACTTCCTGATCTACGCTGTTACAAAAAAATGCTTAAGGTGCGAGTTAGAGCAGCTTTCTTTGTATCCGGAGAATCCAAGTACAGAAGTAAAGTCATGGAAGTCGGCGGACGCGATGTATTTCTCAAAGGATGGGTCAACAGTGCCATTGTTCTGACGGTCTCTAATGAATGTGAAAGCGAACTGTGAAAGATCGAGCACGAAAAGCTGCGTTTGACAACGACTTCTTTAGAATGTTAACTGAAGCAGATTCAAACAAAACGGTGCGAAACAAAACGGCATAAGTGGAGAATTTATCGAGCACATCAACCGATTTCAGGTTAAAAAAACTCAAGCAGTGGCTTATATGTGAACTGAACGAGAAACCGACGACGGATCGTCGGGTATCTCAGAAAATCGAATCAGTATAAATTCTGGAGTCTTCGCAAAAAGAAACAAACGTTTGAGAAAGCTCTTGGAAGGAATAAGGCTAGATGCACCAAGAACTGTCGTATGTTTGGCCAGCGTTTAACCACTCGAACGACACCAATTCTTCTTATATGACAACGTATGAACACACACCCGACGAGTGGGTGGCTCGGAAGCTGAACTACTTGGAAGAGGAACCATTGCTTCTTCCGTTTCACTCATCAGATTGACCACGTAATTATTGTCCAGACATTTGAGCAATTCCTAGAGCGAGGAAATATTTGCCAATGAATAATAGGTAGTGGCAGTGATGAAGGGTTCACGGCTTTTTGCGATGCCGACCATCATGAGCACGGTACTGGTTCGTTCCCTCCTCAGGCTCACCAAGCCTCTCATTTCTCTGGTGTCGTAAACATAGTACTGGACTTTCTCGGGAAAAAATCACTTCCTGCATTCTAACTGGAAACGTTTCAGCCCACTGTTTCAGGACTCCAGCGAGAATAGACTCGGCCAATATTTTTCGACATTCAAGATGAAATGAGAAATCTTCAAGCAACGGCGGCTGAACCATGTAAAAGTTGGAAGACCTTCGTTGATGATGGATGCGAGAAAACGAATTGAATGTGGGAAGTGCTGGGATCTGACGTGATGATGGGTCGTATAAAAAGGAATAGAAAAATAGGTCGTGAAGAAAGGTCTTCGTTTAATCACAATCTTAACCCTCTTATTTACTGCCTTCTTCTTTTTAATGGCAGGGTATGTTGCGAAATATAACTCGTATGTAATGCTGAGATATTTGCAAAACCCAGGACCGCATGTGTATGCGGTGGAGAACGAACACGAGCTGTTGTCCTTACCGGGGAGCAACGCACTTCACCACTACACCATCCGGATCCTACGTTTTGCCCGTCTCTCAGCTAGTTGTATCGATCGATTGCATCGATATCGATTGTAAATATCTCAGCATTACATACGGGTCTTCGTTTAGTTAATCGCTTTCCGAGTTCCAAGCGTTTCATGCTGCACGCACTTTAATAGAAGGCATGTATTGGGATGGTTCTTACTGATTCGGAAATTTGAGGTAAAAAAGCCTCTCCACTTCTAAATCCTTGACCACTGTTGGATACTTAATAATCAACAACCGATGCTTGGTTTATTCTGCGGTTGAACTGACAAAGACCTTCATGTTTCAACCCTAGATGTTTTGTTGTGCATTGCTTCATCTAGGAAAAAATGTTGCACTTGTAGTAATTAAATGCAAAAGTATTTCCAAAAAAATGTTTTTAAGAGATGCGTTGACACCATGAAAGCAGATCATCGAGTCATATTGGATGTCAGTACATCAATAACCGTCATGCGCAAAAGGTACTGTGGAGGATGGGGATATTTCATTCGAGTGATGCCTCAGTCATCGGATGCGACTGGACGCGACAGCGAAGATCGACACACATCGCAAGGACAACAGACTGTGGACAATGGGCTCAAATCAATCCGGATTCGAAAAAGACGACGGCGCCGAGACGTTAGCCGGGTAAAGACCGTTGTAAAAACCACGTATTAGATTTGTGATCTAAGGAAATATTAGATGTAAAGAATTAGTATAGTACGAACACGTAAAACGTAGTGGTTAGATGGGAGGCAATACATTTATGTTCACCGGTCGACATTACCACGGGCCGACCAAGCTTCTTATGTTCTCGAGTTCGGAAATTTGGTAGTTTGATGGTCCTTGTTTTTTGCGAAAACGTTCCTTGGTTTCAAAGAGCTTGGCGATTACCGGCATAGAGAACCCGAAAATGCTCCCGGAGAGTTATCCCGCCACCTCAGCGAGAAACAACGACCAGAACTCAACGACATTCGTTAGAATAGGCAAACTCCTGAAGCAATAGCCTAGCTCGCACACAAATCAGAATTCCACTGCATGTGATAGGCACAATGCAACCACTCGAAAAAAGGAAGCGTTGGAATGAAATAAATAAGCAGATAGACGAACCAAATGATCTTGAGTAGATAAGCAAGCTAGATTTAAGACCATTCCTCTTCAATTTAGACATCGTCGAGGGAAAATCCTTTCTTCTATTCATTTACTGACTTCCTTATTATTTTTTACTGTCTAAATTGGCACTATTTTATGCTTTGTTTTTCACATAAGAGTTCTCGAAAATACCAGATGACAACGCTTTGATTTCTGCCGAGACTCCTCATGTTCCGGTAGGCGTTGTCGGCGATGGCGAAGATATGCGGTGGCAGTTCACCTGCAAATGATTCCGTATCTTTGAGTCTTTTCGCTAGACAGAAAACCTGTAAGGTAGTACCGATTCTTTTGCGCTTATACATTCGAATCTGCTCAGCCGTGTATATCGGAATATTCATATATGGGTTTACTGCGATCAAAATCGAACCGCTGTATGTCTGGAATCCACAACTTTGAGCGTTTAGAAACTTTCGTTTTACTTGATTGCCTTTAAAACGGCATTATTGATTGACAAAGCTTAGCACATTGTTTTTATGGAAACATCATCATGCGTGTGCAAAGAAACAGTGGAAGAAGATGAAAAAATTTGAAAATGGCCGACAATGATTCAAAGACCAATAAATTCAAAATCGACACCTAATCTAGTAAAAGCCGAAAGACGTTCTGCAATGTTCCAAAGAGACTTCTCGTCTCGTTTGATTACTTTAGCGAAATTACAAATCAATCCTTACATAGATAAGATTCTCACGAAATCGAATGAGAACGTTCCTGAGGATGGCGCTCTCATGGAAGTCGACCAACATAGCCATGTCCTCTGCACCCTGCACCGATGCCGGATGCATGAGTCGAACCCGTTGATCTGTGGACAGCCAACGCTCCTGTAAGTATCCTCGCACTAAAACTTCGAGTTTGAGTAGTTTTAGAGTTTTATTATTCGTAGAAATAATAGGGGAATTTTCTGCTTTTGCAACCGAGCAGTACATCAAATGAAATCTTTGCTTTCCAACTTAGTTTTTGCAAAATATATCACCACTGCACTTATTTTAAATATTTTTGAAAGCATCTGGTGATTTCGAATGCGGTCACCACTTAGCCAAAGTGTTATCCTCTTGAAAATGGGGAATTGGTGAAATCGAATAGGTTTAGGTTATTCGTGTTATCGCAGTTCGTTCTCTGGATATTAAGATGACAATAAAAGTGCTAATGCTTCAGAAAAAGTACTTATAAAGACGTAAATGTGAGTTAGAGACCCATAAAGATCTCGAAAAATTAAAGCAAGCTCGCCCTTAAAATTGTAATTTCTTTAAACCAACCTCTCCAAAATCATCAACGATTTTCATACGACCATGATCGTGGTCCAAAACTCGCCCACCAACTGCAATTCCTTCCCTTTCTGCCGGTTCGATCCACACAAAATCACCCTTAATATACAAGTGGAACGATGTGTATACGATGCTTTTGAGTTCTTGCTACTCTAATTAGTGAACGCGTTACTCCCCGGAAAGGATAATAGCGCGTTCGTTCCCCACCATAGACACCTGCGGTCCAGAGTTTTGCAAATATCTCAGCAACGTTGTGGTTGTATTTCGCTTAGTAACCTGCCATGAAAATTATAGAAGGCAGAAAACAAAACGTTAAACACTCTAATTAGTAATCACCATTGCGGTAATGATGCCGCTCAAAACGCGAAAATCGGTAGTTCGACTATGAATCGGGCCAACTAATCCCCCTTGGTCGTCCGGTCTCGGAAATCAGTCCCACAATTATATGGTATCAGGTCGCTCGATGCAACGCCTAAAAGATATCGCCTATCCGCGTTAAGATTTGGAGCTGCTCTAACACTACTCTCTCAGGATTAAAAGAAGAATCTACTCAACTTCCATTCAAAGGTATGCATGAGTTCTATGCAAATGAAGAACAAAAGTCTTCAGCCGGTAGCCGAAGATACACTCAAAATCCGAAGGTGTTCGTCGAATGTGGACGGGCTTTGAATTGAACGTAACTGGAGGGTCCCGCAGAATATATGAATTTTGGTCGTGTGAAATAGGAAAATAAATGGTGGTACAAAATTGACCTGGAAAAACCTGCATTATAGAACCACTCATCGAACGAACCACGAGCAACTGTGCTCGTGCCCTGCAAAGCGCTTGCACCGAAAACATCGCATAGTTCTGCTTCATGTCGAACTCGGATGAAAACAGTAGCAAAAACCAAGAATAACTTCAAAATCAGTCTATGATTTCATTAATCCTCTAATACTTCCATAGATGAGCAGTGGATGTTGGATCGATATTATTGCTGGACGTTCAAGAAATCGCGAAACTGGTTGCTCCATACCATGTATACGCAAAAATGAGCATTTTGCAAAATTTTGTCGCATTCGACTGAGCCCTACCAGCGCCTTAAAACAAGGACCAGGTTCTTCACCAATCTAAGACACAGTAGACTAGTTGGATGAGAGCGTCAGAGCAGTCTTACTCCAATATATGATCCGGGTGAGTGGCTATTAATCAAAGTGGATGCTACTTGAAATCACTGTTCTACAAATGAAGCCGTCGACACTAACGAAATTTCACCGACAATCGACTATGTTCACCGCCCTAATAAAGCATTGCGGATGTCGAGTAGAATCAATCAGAACGTCATCTACAATCTTGATTTTTTATCACAGCCACATCTGTTTTTCAATTTATCACCTTGTCCAAAGAGGGCGGATCGTTTGTGACGCGATGTGATAATTTGTCGCTGAAGAATCGTACTGTAAGGCATTCACTCACGCAGAAAAGAATAATTGTTGAAAAACCGGTAATGATGATCTAGGAAAACTCAAGCACAACTATTTGGGAATCCTGGAGATGTCAACCCCAGTAAGCAACCGTGGTAATATGGAAAGAAGGAAGCGGACCCTGAAAGAGCAATCTGACGCATCTTAACCAAGAACCGCATTTTTACTGAACTGATTCCAAAACAGCAATAGAATTTGCCCGAATTTAGATGCAAACTCCTCAACAAGCATAAATAATGGGTATATTTTTAAAGTTTATTTCTAGTTGAACAAGTTCCCACATAGAAATTTGTCGAGCACATAATTTGTGATGATTTCAGAATGGGTAAGAAGATATCCTCAAACGGTGGAAATCGCATAGTTTCACTTCATGAGTTCAAAAATAAAGAAACTGTTGCAACTCGGAAGGTCATTGGCCAGAGAACAGCTTCCTGCCTCCCAGACAGAGATGGTTACTAAGATTTCGGCAAGATAGGAGTCTGTGCGACGGAGAAGGTCGTAGCCCTCTGTAACATTGCGACAACGGACACATCTAAAGCCGATAATCGATGTCGTTTATCCAAGAACTACTTGAGGGTTTGTAAAAACTCAACATTTGCGATTCAACAATCACTCCTTATTCGGGAGATGTTGAAAAGGTGAAAAAATCTTGGTAGATGCGTACTTCAGGAATTGAACGAATGACCGAGATTTTTTGGGGAAAATTTTCCTTTAAGAAAGTAAAACAAGCTATTTCTGGAAAAGTAGCAACTAGTTTTGAATTAGGTCATTTGTTGATAACGTTTGTCTTCATTGCATTTAATCCCGATCATTTATGAAGGAGATCCGCCTACATGAAATCGCTAAGACAACGAATGCGGTTAGGTTCCTAGCCTTCCGTACACCAAGGAAGGGAGTGGGTTAGATGATGAGTGCGTGCTTTAAACTCTAAATGCTATTTCCCCAAAATTTTATAATGCTCTGACATGATGGTGACCCTCGTTAACCCAGTGCTGATGATGAAAATAGAAATTATTTTGCCGGACCGTAGGAGCAATATACATATTTATTGGAAGAATCCCAAGTAAATGAGTGTTTAGCCTCGTTACAACTTTATCGCTACGGTAACTTATTCAGTGTATTCGAAAAATACTTCGGCAAAGACATCACACTAATTTAGGGCTGAGACTTGAGCGTTCAAATTTATTGAGTGCAATAGGATTTAAAACCTTGATTGGATGGAACTTCGTGAAGAGTTAGACCACTGGAAAGGCAAATAATCAACTTTTCAGCAGCTTTTTTGTCAAAAAAAAAAGTAAAAAGGCCCAACTTCTCCTCAAAAAGCACTCGGAACCTCAAGTGGGCTTCGAACCAGCTACTACTCCTACTGGGGGATTAAGTGCAATCTGCCATACCAGCTTAGCCCCTTGTTTCGCCTTTTTGTCAGCCATCTTTTTACTCTATCGGTCCGATCACTAATCACCTGTCCAATCGGAGCTTGCTTATATCCTAGGATTCTCGTGGTTGTATTTCACACAGGCTTATCAATCCTGAACTACAGGTTCACCAAGATTTTTTTCTTTACGGGATTAGTAGATCGGTACCAAAACTGGCTGCTAGAATAGCAGCACTCACTCGATACATTATAAGGCTGTCATGAGAAAATAATAGGCCCAAAATAAAAGCTAGGATACGGTTATTTCAACTGCAGCATCAGCATAACTAGGTTCAATACCGAATTCTGCTCATGAGATCATTCCCGTTGACGGTTGTTTGCTGATAGCATTGCCTATAGATAAAACCACGGCTGAGAGAAAGCCAGAGGTTGGGCACCAGGTGGCGTGGTAGATTACATGTAAGAGCTCGGCAAAAGTGATCTCGGGTCAGAAGCCTAGGGTTCAGAGTCTTGCTTTGCCCGTATCTTTGCATCCTTATGCTTGTATTTCAGCAAAGAAAGGCGTTTTCAAGTATTTTGAGTCGATAGTGGAAGCATGAAGAACTACGCAATTATTACCGATAAAAAATCGCAAGTGAGAAGCCACAAATGAAACTATCAATAAAAGGCTAATAGTAACACAATGGGAAAAAGTTTAGAAAAATGATCCACATACCTTAGTAATCAGAACCATGTCGAATACTAGAGATCATAGGTTGCAGGCGGAAAAGTGGTATGGGCAAACAACCGTCGAAGTGAGAGAAGAGCCGAAGTAAGTGAAGTTCTAGCCTGGGAGCCAAGGAAGTGGCTGAATTTGAAGAGAACAAAGATCAGATGAAGTTAACAGGAAGCCCTAAGAAATGCGTAGTTCAAATCAGGCACAAAAAACAACTTTAAAAACAAGGACTTCATCATTGAATAGGCGTTAAACGGACAAAGATTCCCCTTGAAGGTAAGATTGAGACTTGACTTATTTAATACTTAATTTAACTTATTATCTATACATGCATATATATATATATATAAAGACATAACAGAAAAACTTTAATTTGTCACTTCCACCAGTTCCTTCGCTGTTTCTTCTTCAAGAGAGGAACAAGGAAGGATTTTGAATCAAACTGACAAAACTACTGCATAATAAGATTAGAAAATAAAAGCTATTGGACGTAGAGTCACCACTATTGAAAGGGAAAAGAGAGTAGTCGTAATGGAAGCGGTAGGCATCTTGTAGTTATAGTTCTACTAAATATAGTTAATAATGCCAACTTTTTATTTGCTGCCTTACAATTTTTCGTGGAAGGGTATGATACGAAATACAACACAATGATGCTGATATATTTGCAAAGCTCCAGAGCGCAAGTGTCTGCGGTGTGGAACGAGCGCGCCATTACCACTTTTGGGGTTAACGTGTTCACCACCACCACATCATGTGGGTCCTTCGTTTCGCCTGTCATTGTTAATAATGTTCTAGACCACTCAACTGACACAAGATTAGTCTAGAAACCTAAATAAATGCAGTTGTTACGAACTCGACCGCCATTGTTAGGGTAAGCGGGTTTTTATCGATCAACTAGTAAAATAACTAGTAGAAACTTTTATTACAAAATTTAGAAGGCCAAAACAACCAACTCGAAAAACAGCATGTAGCTCTCAAAAAAACAACTTGAATTTTTTTTAATTTTGAAAGTAAGGTGGACCCGGAAAGTCTTTAGTTCCACACGTGATCGTTTATGAAATGGAGACGGTAAGTGAAGAAGGAAGTACTGCAGACATGAGAAGAATTTAGCAAAGTCAGAGAAAGTGGAAAATCGGGTAAGGTGGAAAAACAAAAAACGAACTGCGAAACAAAAAAACCAATAAACGGCGTTAGTTGAGAAGAAAGTGGATAAAATGGGCCTCGTAAAAGTAATTAGTGACAGAGTTATGTTTAAATGGTATAAAAACCGAAAAAGAAACCGCTGCGTGAGCTGGTGAGCTCATTCGAGAAATGCACAGTGTTTGCGAATGCTGCTACTTGGTGTTCCTACGTGTCCGAAATCGGCTTCTACAAATAAAACCAGAAGCGCCGGTCAGTTCTATTGAACTCAGTCACAACCTAGGGAATAGTTTGAACCTTAACAATAGGTAGAACTAGTCACTGCTAGAAGTCTTGAACATGCACGATTTCTCGAAGTAAGGGTGAAAAAGTTGAGAGCGTGGTGACTACAGTAACTACAATAAAGCATCCGAACTTCTCCTGTCATCCGGATTTCCATAACAAACAATGGAATCCCAGTGAAATCTTGGAGCGCGTTGTCGACTGTGACTAGTCAGTCCTTGAAAACGGGTCAACCGACGATAGACTCGGGTCGAACGAGAGGATTGAGATCCCGTAAGGAGCGAAGCAACGAACGGAGAGATAGAGGTAGCCAGCCCGTTAAAGGTATATGATAAATCGATGCGGAATGTGTCTAAGGAAGATAACTGATAGGTCTTCGACCGCCAAACAAGGAAATCTTTCCAGTGGTTCGAGAAGATGAGTACGGTCTGATGGTGACGGCATGAGTTAGTAATTGGGCATGAATTTTACTTCCAGGGAATCACTCAGTGAATTAGCGTCAAATGCTCTAGATTTATACCTCACAAATGTTTAGCTCGACGGGACTTTTTTAGAAGAAGGCTTGCTCTACAATAACTTTGAAGGAACGAGTGCTTTTTTATTTGCGTCAATTTTCGGTGAAAGAGATTTTTGTTTCAGTGTTAAACCTACTATGTTCCACTTCAACAAAAACAAGTAGCACTCATTAACCGTCGACGAACATCAATTTATCTATTAGTAATCTTAATGTGAGCCAGGAAGCCACATAATTAGCTGGTTTAAGCAATCTGGAAGCCACTGTGCTGTAAGATTAGCGTAATTCGAGTTAGCGGTTGTTCGCTAGCTGTTAGATAAAGCGAAGTGCGTGAGAAGAATAAGGAAAGGAATACAAAAGGCCACCTTGAATTTTTAGCTGCAAAGGTGATGTTGTCCGAGAAGCCAAAGTTCTCTGAAGCTGTGATATAATCGTTTTTCTTCAAGCATTCTTATTTTTTTTTCACGAATTTCACTGCATTTGTTCATGGGCTTAACAACTTCGTGAGAGGCCAATTAACGTTGGCCGCCTACTTTTCGGCGAAATAGCTTACGCACACTAAAGTGTACGTTTTCACTTTAACCAGGTTGAAGCGACTTAGGTTGGGTTCAGTCGATTAATCCATTCCTCACCAGTGTAGTTTCACTCTGCTAGGCATCGTTGTAAAGTGTCCCCAAAATCGGTACTGTGCACAAAGCCGTTTCTTTTACGAAACCCCCTGCTTTAAGTATTATAGTTTATAAGGCGTATTGATGCTTACTTGCTTACTTGATACTTGAACGGCCCGTCATCACTAGTTGTGCAGGCCCCAGGATAATCACCATTTTTCGGAGATTTGCTGGTTAATACATTGTGGTCCCTGGAATACCGAGGACAGCCTGGCCAAAGTCTGCCCCAGGTCGAAACCACCACAGGCAGTCGCAGCCCTTGTGGATCAGGTGAAGGTTTATCACCATACGACTTTGATATCAAGACGGTGGTGGATTCTGTTATTAGTTTACTCTTGGTTAGGCTTCCTGACAGAAACGCCGTAGTCCTTCTCAGCTTGGAAGACCCTGCCAGGGGGAAGGATCCCCAGCTGTACATCGCAGTCCGACACCCAGGAACACCTCCTAGTCACGATGAGGCGGTAAACCGTTAGGAGGTATAAGGCGTATTGCTTTTCAAATATCCACTACACCGTCGAAAGCTTATGAAAATGTCAGCTTATCACTGCAAGGAATAACAACATACCAGAGAAACAATGGAAAACTATCTTCACCACGAGAAAGAAACTTCTGGAGAAACAGCATGCCATTTGATAAGAATCAAACATTGTAAAGAACGAATGGTTGAGAATGTGACCCAGTTACTATAATTACAGCCGAGAAAAGTGAGATGTGCAGATAAGAGAGGTGTTTATGGAGAGCTGTCAAGAGAAAAAAGAAGTAAAAACCAACAATTCATTAACTCCGTACATTTTCATGTTTAGAATGAAAATAGTCACAATCTGCATTGAACAAGCTATTGAAAGAATAATAAAGAGGTGGTAAAAACTTTTGTGAACCAGTGAAAAGGTCTGTACCCGTGTCGGTACAAGTGGTCCAATACATACTAAAGAACGAGAAATATTCTTAAAAAATACACTCCGCGTATTTGAACAAAGACAGACGAATTCCCAGTATCGGAACAGTTGATCTGAAGAAAATTGTAAAATGAACAGAGAAAAGTAGTAGCACGCAACCATACCACAAGTGGATCCCATATAAAGATGGTGCGAAGAATTCGGCAATAGGTTGGTCGAAAAGGCATGAACGACTCGCCAGCGCAAGAAGTTGTTGAGAGACGGGTTCCAGAACTTGTGAGAGCAAAGCTATAGAGCAACGAAAAATTGTTTTAGGCTAGAAAGACAGTTGAATTGAAAGTTCATCCTTTCGTTTAAATGGAAACAGATAGGCAGAGATTGAGAAGCATCAAAGGACTCTAACGACTGCTCGATTTATTGATTTATTTTGGTTCTCGTATAAAACTCATAATAAACGGCAGAAAACTGGTGTGTGTTCATTCCTCATGGTAAGAAACAGTGAATTCGTTGTCATTTAAAGGCAGCCGTCCGTAATAAGTTAATCGGCGTTATATTTACTTTTTAAGGACACAAAGGTAAGAAACGGGTCTAAGAGAGTTTAGTGGTATTATTGTATTGAGTATCGTTAAGGGATAATCCAATAATGCACAGCCACGACGGAAGTAGCGATGCCTTCAGAGGGATGACGTCTTGATAAGGACGAAAGATGAAAAGTGGTGGCGTCGCGAATTGGTTGCACGAAAGGAATTCCACAAAAACAGCGCTCGCTGATAGCAATCTATCTCTTCGTTGGTATCGAACGTCGAATTAGCAGTGGTTTGACTACTTCGAAACTACTAACGTGACCTGACAAATTAATAGCTTATCATTATCAGTATGAGTTGAGAGATTATGGATTTCCAAAACAATATCTTCGTCTCTCTATTGTATGTACGTATGCACGTATGTATGTATGTATGTATGTATGTATGTATGTATGTATGTATGTATGTATGTATGTATGTATGTATGTATGTATGTATGTATGTAGCTTGGCTTCTCTTTATTTGATGGCGAGACTGTTTTGTATCTCGACATAAAAAAGACAGCCCTGTTCTCATAAAAACGTGATATTATAAAGAGTCGACAGCCCTTACAACGTCGGCCCACTACAGACCATATTTCTCACCAACACTCGTCATCTGGTCTTCATTATTGCATTCTATCGCACACTCACTGCATTATTGTAATAATCTTTCCGTAATCTATTGTTTTGCTTCCCTTCTTTGTCGACATCAATTGAGGATGTCAACCTCGCTACATTTACCGATCACTTTTGCTTTACTCATTGTCAACGTGGTTTGCTTATCAGTATCAGTTTACAAATCTCCATTTTTCTGGATAAGCCTGTTCAACGCGCAACTGAAAAAAACACTCTCTGAGTTCATCTGAACATTCATTCTCCACTTCAGTGCTAGGACCGGCAATGAGATAGAACTTCGCATCAAAAATTTGTTGTCCGCAACTGGATTAGCCAAGTGTACGCTTCAATAAGAACAGACATTTAGTTAACAGTCAATGAGTGACTCTATAACAAAACACTGGTATCCCTTTCATCGCGATGATCATTAGGGCTAACGTTAGAGATCTCAGTGAGAAGCTCTTTCCTGTAACATCCTCAATATTGCCGACCACCACGCATCTTTCTGTTTTTGTGGTAGTATATGTTTTTGTAAAATCACTGATTTCAGTTTTACGTTTTCAAGTGTATTTTTTAACTATGCCTTATTCAGTGTAAACGATACTCACAATAAATTCTATTACTCTTTTAAATAATGTGGCTCTAAAGGCGCCTAAGTACTAGTAGGACATCAGGAGCTCCATTGTAATGTCATTGTTTATTTTTGTCTGTAATAGTTAGAAAAGAGAACTGCCTTTCCCCTTTTACCGTTGCTCTTGTACTATTATACTCGACCATCACTGCTTTTATTCTCCCGCCATTCGATACCATAACACTAGAGCGATTTCAGATGGGTCATACTCAGTGCCGCTCCTCTCATACGACGACTACACTGTGCTGTAGTCTGGCGGTAGTCGATTTTTTATAGTAAACAATAGGCCCAACATTTTATTACCAATGTAACCAAAACGATATACACCAGTGTACTTTTGATGGTTGTCATGTACAGCCGTGTGTGTTTGAGCATCACTTTCACACTTCTGTCTAGTTGGCATAGCAAACCCATTCAATACAACTACAAATCACAGTCTTCGATATTGATTGCCGATGTCACTTCCTCTGGGTGATCAATCCTTATCGAGCCGATGTTGATAAATCCGATACAGCCTCGGAAACCGTCCAAGTCTTGTGTGGCCTTTGGCGTCCCACCTGTAGAAGTTTCTCTTTTTTTCGTTGTAAAAAACGCGACAGTTTTTTGAACTCTCTCATAGAGCGCAGAATTTGCAGAACTCTATGCCCTATCACTTTAACTGTAACTGGAAATTGGATGCGTTATATTTTGAGCTGGCTAAATTAATTCGAGCTACGCTACATCCCAAATCTAACTACCGTATTTTACCTGAGGTCTCAAAAGGAGACAGTTATTCGCTTTAAAAATAACCAATCCTTATGACCACAAGGATGCTGCGATATGAGCAAATCTCGGAAGTTTGGTTGCGCTTCGAAGCCGCAATCACCCCTACGAGGCGCTCACGTGCTATCCGTCACACCAACCAAGGCATTTGATCTGCGTTTCTCTCAACTAGGTTTCTATTCTATCGGTATTATTATGGGAACAACTATGAACCGCGCAGGTTTATCTACAAAAGATCATTTTGAAAAGCTGCTCTGAATTGCACTGCAAAGTTGGGTAAATTATTCGGCAGGTTTCAAGAACCACGCGCAGTGCCCTCACCAATGTAAAGTCCCTTGTAGACGTTCAACTGTTCGGAATCTCCAGGCGAAATCGTGGTGATCGGAATGGCGTCGTTGATCGACAGTGTCAACTGTCGTTTCTGTCTGAAAATCAGGCTTTAACTTTAGTTGCTCTGGGTTGATCAACACTAAACATTTTATTTTTTGTTCCTTATGACAGAATGCATGAGAACCCGCCAACTGCGGCTAGCGTACCTCACTACTCCAACACGAGTCCATCTTTCTGCTATCAGCTGAGTCGGATGAGTTAAAGAAACCAGTCCTGAGCCGAGATTCATCATCACCTGCACGCTGTTGTCCTTAATGGATAAATTTGGCCTGGTGACATATTCGAAAACTATAAATGGATAGAAACATTTGCAGAATCTAAACAGTTTTGTTCACTGGGTTTTATAAAAATGTTCTGTATATTTGTACTTGAAAATTATTACCTGCCAGAGGCTGTTCATTTTTTAACCATAATTAACCTAACTCTATTTCCCATTGGAAAAAGCAAATCGAGACAATTCTGCACAGATTTACCGTGAGAAGAAAGAAGTTTTTTGTTTTTCGCAAAAACTTTGTGAATAACTAAAGCGAAAGACAAAATGGTTGACACACTTGAGTGAGCAGGAGTCGAAAAAAGTCGCCCGTGACTCCGCTTTCGCCAGCGAAAGCCAGTAACTGAAAAGCATGGAGATTTCTAATGTTCTTTGCTTCGGTTAGTTTTAAAAGGTTTGCCATGATAGTATTTATTTTCACAGACATTATCGTAAAGGCTCGAATGATATCGAGTGAAGAGCTCGGAATTCCTTTAGTTCTAAACAACTCTCTTAAATCATTTTGCAAACTTCAGAACTCCAGAAATCCTACTTTGCTCATACCCGACGGCTCGTTAATGACAAGTTTTGTCAAGAGAGATTTCTTTGAAATTCAATGGAGCAATTCTTTGCTCAGCGGAGCTAGTAGTCGCACTATTTGACACCACTAGCTTAGTTGATTCTCGTCCTAGTTGAAAGCTTTCAAGGTAGAAATTTTATTAAAAAGATCAGAAAGCTGTCGTTCCACCAATAATTCAACAATATGCTTCTACTTGGTATTTTTATAAACGTGGTAGTCACATTGTCATAACAGTAAATTCTTAACCTGATTCTTCAATGGTACATGTACGTCAGTACTGTTGTTGATTTTTAGGTTTATTTCCATTTTAAGGGAATCACCAATGATTCTGAAAAACAGCTTAAAAACATGTTTCCAAGAGAATTCACGAAAAGTTCGACTCACTGGCTCATGTGTTCCTCCTTTTTGAGTTCCAAGTAGGAATGCCCTGAGAAACGCATCGCTGACAACCGTTTAGCCTCTAATTCAGTTCCATAAATGCAGACATTGAAATGAATTCCGTGGTCATATCCCTTTCAAGACAATGAGGAAAATTTCAAAAATCTTGGAAAATTCTTGAAAACTTGAATTATGTGGACCACTACTTCAGAAGCCATCATATTTCTTTCTGTGCCTTCTCTTGACGTTAGGAGTAAAAAATTTAATCTCTTCAAGTAGAGCTCGACAATCGATTTTGGTACCTCTTAACCAACTTCTACCTGGTATGATGTTGCCTCTTACCATAATTAGTAAAAAAAAAAAGAGTATTAACAAAGTAGGCACACCAATTTCACATGTTCGGCCATATTTCGGCCATTCACACAAACAGAGATAGTCGTCGTTGTTCGATGTGCACGTTTGGGGGCATCCAGCAAAAGCACATGGATCTGCTCCACATTCGCGGATGGACTGATCGCTTCCCGTTCGCAGCAGTATGCTATGCCCATTCACACGAATCTGAACTCAATCATTCCATTATGATCTCCTATAAAGCAGAGATATGCGCACTGAGTTTTTCTGTTAAACGACCCCGTATACCCAAGTCGTAAACAGAAATTTACGTTCTATGAACACATGATTTCGAGTTGATAACTTAGGTAGGGTTGATGACTCAGTGGCTACTACATTCGCCTTGCTTTCGAAACTTCTAAGTCACTCGTTATATTACGAGAAGCAGGAACTGTAAAATGTTAGTAGCCGACCTTCTTCACGCATCCATGAAATCCAGCGATATCGGGTAGGTGAAGAGCAAGCCGACCATCGAAGCCACCAATGTAAAGCATTCCTGGTTCGCTCAATGGGCTACCTATTGAGATCAGCTGCGATTCAACCCACGACTGACGGTCCACCTTCAACGTTCATTTTGTTGATGATGTTCTTTTATGAACAATGTTTGTTCAGAAATAGGAACTAACAAAACAGATTGAGGTCGCAAATGAGGTAGTACATTTGCGGAGACATTGGTTTATCGATAACTGGTGATAACTTCCCGACCATTACTAGAGCAGTCGAGCTGCTCAGAACTTTACATGGTCTTCGAAATGAATTCCTCCCATCTCTTTAAGAGAACATATATATTTAATTTTTCTACTTTAAACTTCTGCAGAATGATTATTTCCAAGAAACTGAAGACAAAGTCTAAATTTTTCAAGTTCTTGAATCTAGCCGAAAATGGAAGAAAACGAGCTTGTCCAAAAGTTTTTGTGCTTGGAAGGCAAAATCAATTGGTCGAAATCGAACTGAAAAAGTGAGAAGATCCGTGACGTCAGTTCCGCACAATCATAAATTCTTCTGATTAATAGAACACGAAAGCTGTCACCTTATCGACCAAGATCTCTAGATTCCGCATGTCTTTACCTTAATTAATAATGTCCTTATGAGGTGAGAAGTGTTGGTTTAAAGTTGAAGCCAACCATTCTTTGCACAAGTTATGAATTCTATGAAATTCATGCGATCGCGAACATGTTATTGAAAAAGTAGCGGGAAATATCCAAGCTCATTAACAGCTTTGAGAAAAATTGTCCCATAGTGAAGGAGCACACTCCACACAGCTTCAAATAAACGATGAAATGGTGGCTTTCACATTGAAGTGGAAGCATTCTAAAAAACACAAATCTTAGAAACCTTCATAAGAATTCCTTTGCCAGTGCACCAGATTTCTGCTCGATGCCATTGATGAAGAGTTACGGGTAGCTCTGACCTGAAAATGAGAGAAAGTGAACTATTGTCAGTTTTAAGACTAAGAAGTAGTTCTCCAGAAACAGCTAACGATGATGACGTACACCGCCGATGACTAGAAAAAAGCTACACAGTGCTTCCTTACAAAAAGAACGATAGTTTCCATAAGATCTCAAGGCTCTTTCACTCTATTTCGGACTTTTCCACATATGTTATCTCCGTACCTTCGACTTGCACATGATTGTGGCCGGTAGTCTTTGTTTTTATGGGTTGTGAAGAAAGGTAAAAATAGCGAAATTATACTAAAACGACTACTATGTAACTGAAAGTGAAAAGTGTGGTTCGATGTTGCAGTTGGCCACTGGCCAAGTCTTGAACAAAGAATGAGAAGTGGTTAAACGGACGGATTTTCTCAGAAGTCAGAGGCAAAAGCACTTTATTCTCCCAAACACGGACAAACTTTTTTTTAAAACCTACGTGCTTATAAACTCAATGAAGGTGTTTGCACAAAAAAATTTAATATCGAATATCCTAGCAACAGAAGACTACGAATACGAGGCAGTTTGAAAAGAAATAGCATATATTTTGGGTAGATGACTTCTAATGGGACTAAATTTTCATTTGCTCCTATCCGACCTCAACTATTTTTAATGAAGTACTACCACTTTGATCTAAATGTTACGTAACACTGTTCTAAATGCCCTGAGTTTGGAAAAGGATAAGAATTCATTCCGTGCCTTATTTTTTACACGACGCGCCACAACGTCTATTGTGCGGATCCCAGCCCTTCTTCTAATTTTTTTTCGTTTCTTTGTATCCAACATCTACAAAGGTCTTCGAATTTTTCGCACATGGGTTCGGTTGGTGCCTAAGAATCGTTGTCCTCTCTACGAATGTTGTTGAACGCTGGTGGAGTCGACTCTCCTTCGAATCCTGAGAAAGTCTCGCTAGGATGTTGCCACATGGATTACGGGGAATGAACCATTCCCACCTAAGCATTGTATCAGATTTCCAGACTCTGAGAAATGAAGGACTTGGTGAGCCCGGGCCAAGGTCGAACCACTACTGTGATAATGATGATCGGCATCACCACCACTATGCTATGAATGTTTTGCATGCTCTTAGCAATGTATGCAGAGAAATGTCTAGGAAAAGATCAGCCAGTAGGTTGTAATTTAGACGCTCTCATGATAACTTCAATGATGCTGAGATATTTGCAGAACTCCGGACCGCACATGTCTACGGTGGAAAACGAACGCACTATTGTCCTTTCTGGGGAGTAATCCGTTCACCACCAGACCATGCGGGTCCTTCGTTTCGCCTGCATCTCAGCTAACTCTATCAATCTCTACCGTCAGCAATCACCCGTCAACGGAATTGATTTGGGGAGCATAGATCCACAATGAACCCAATTAAGCTGAGGCTTTAGTTATAATCACAATCTTAACCGTTTTATTAAGATTAGAAAGATTGGGCAGTAAATAAATAGTGCGTTCGTTCTCCGCCGCAAACACAATGGTCCGGAGTTTTGGAAATATCCCAGCATCACTGACGTTATATTTCGCAATATACCCTGCCATTAAAAAGATTTGGCAGTAAATAAGACGGTTAAGATTGCTCTCGAGATACTTCAGTATACTGGAACCCGCACATTTAACCAAATTCGAAGGGCACGTGCACAAGTCGGAAACGCATTAATCTGCATTTCATAGACGCTTTTTTCATTGCCACGAAGGCCCCGTAAAACCAACCACTGATACCTCGACTTTCCACTCATTATGCCTTTTCAATGGTGTTAAGCACAAAGAACGCAATTTAAACTCACCGTAAGATAACCATTTCACCTCCAATTGTTACTAGCACATTGACGAATCCGTGCTCAACGAACACGACCAACTGCCGATCCGAGTCGTGCCAGCAGAAAATAACACCCGAATGGGTGTTCGGTTTGAAGTAGAAGCGCAGGTCCAGATAGTCCACAATATCTGGCGGAGCAGGCACGGCAATGTAGGACGAACCGGAAAACTCGGCTGCTTTCAAGACGTGCTGCAGTTGTTGCACATCATCCGACGGTGCGGTTGTGTTGTTCGAGTCCTCTATAAAAATAGATTTTACGATCGAATAACGTATTATTTAAAAACAGGAAAACTACCTGTCTTATGCGTACTGATAACAAAGAGAATGCTTGATTTTCTTCCATTATTACTAGCAGAAATGACTATGAATGGATGACTTGCGGCTTTTAGATAATAGACTGTTGCGGTTAGTTCCGACACTTGAAAAACCAAATGCAGGTGTCTAGTATTTCGTCAAAAAAATGCTCCAAAGTATCAGTTTGAGACGAGCAAAGTCCTCAACTTCTTGACGACTCGATGATTAAAAAAAATAAAAGGATAAAGTTCTCGGCGTTGATCAATTCCTGAGGGAAGCGCCATGCATTCGACTTCATTAAGTATCGTTGGAAGTTAGTGAATGCATGTCTGGCCTTTACAATGACTCGCGGTGGCCTACCGATGCATCGAGCCAGTGCTGTTAACCTCCCAGACAAGTCTGGCACCAATTTGCCAAACCCGGAGGGATGGAAGGCTTGGTGGGCCATGGGCGCAGGAATCGATTTCACCTGTGTGCCCCAGTGGCGCCTCCAACCACCGTCGCAGCAACAGTGGACGACTCGATGAGCCTTTTAATTTACATCTTCGAACATCTATAAAACTATAACGATGCTGAGATATTTGCAAAACTCCGGGCCGCAGGCGTCTGCGTTAGGGAACGAACGTGCTATAAACCTTTGCGGAGGCTAAGGCGTTCACCACCACACCATGCGAGTCCTTGGTTTCGCCTGTCTCTCAGCTAGTTTTGCCTTTTTTTATCATCTCATCTATCTTTATCTTTTTTTATCTATGCTTACCTTTTTATTTTTTATTTACTTATCTATGACGCTATAACTAAAAGTAGTTTCTTCGTGAAAGAAAAAGGGAATTGGCATCCGTTGAGCCTATTCGATGAAAAATCCACCGTACCCTGTTATATGAATTGAACACTAAGAAATAATCGATTTCTTTGATCTCCGATAAAACGTCGTGATTTCTAAAGAAAATGCATAAAAGAATATTCGCCCTCGCACGTACGCCTGTTGTTTTTGATAGTGGCGATAGTCATGGCGGAAGTAATGACTTCAGTAGTTTAGCTAGGCCTGAGTACAGGCGTTGAAATGCTCAGTCGGATATGGGCTGCTCGATCGACAAGTGCTAGTAATACGAATAGTGGGTTAGGACATCAATACGTAGCATGGTAGGGTGAAACTCGAATACCGTATCCTAGCCCTCTCGGTGGTCAGTACTGCAAAAATATTTTCGCGGTCATATCCATAACTGCGGAAGGTGCAGGACATTGCAGTAAAGCCTACGATGATTTCCAGGATTCTATGAGATAATGACTCGGATGGCACGAGAAAATGAGCTGCATCTAACGATAATGCTCACTAACGATTACAAATAATGATTATTAATGGCTCGTGATTATTGTTTACTGATCACTATTGATTATGATTGTTATGTACCTAGTGCCTATTGCTACCAACAATCTCTAGGTCATCTAGCATTGGGTGAATTACATTCGTTATCGATAATGGCTGAAAATCAGAAATGGTGTTTTTTTTTGTATATAACCAAGAATATTAGCGGACATTAACGACGGTAAATCGTCACCAACAATTTCACGATAGACGAAGTGCGCAGACGAAAAAAATTGTCGGATGTTTGCTGACAAGTAGCCGAGCTGAGGAAATCCACAATCTCATCACAGGTCAGTCGAGACGTAGACGACCCTTCAATGAGGAATGGGTCCGCTGCAACCATCGCCACATTCTATGCACGTATTTCAGTTATAAATTGAAATTCAATGCACTAAGAAAGTTCGATACGAAAATGTTAATTTGCGTGGCAGTCAGCCCAGTCTCTCATTTGTGCGTTTGAATAGCAATATTTTTTAACATTATTATTGGCGTTGTCATTCATTGGTACAGCTTGATAGGAAATATCTGCTTAAGAAAACAATGAAGAGCGTTGGATAGATTGATTGCCGTCGATAACAACAGCTAATGAGCCGGGCACGTTGGACAGCCTCCTACATCCATGGTTTGCCACCCAGAAAAACGCTCTGTTTTTCGAGGCCTGTTTTCGGAGTTGCAGTTTTCTAGCTCAGCTACAAATAGAAGAATCCGACAGCTAATAGATACGCATGTGGTGAACAATCGAATTTGCGTCATAGTTATCATCAGAAAACGTCTACGACGTTAATTCTAAAAGGGCATCACTGAGTGAGGATGCCTCATTCGAGAAGATGGCTCGCTGAGGAAGATCTGGCTCGACAGGAAGGCGAAGACGCAACGTCGAGGCGAACAACAAGCATGGACCATCGACTCGGATCACCGGCTCTGAGGAAGACGAAGACGTCGAAACGTTAGCCGAAAATAAATATATTTATCAACCTCGTGCAAGCTTATCAAGAAAGAATACATATTGACGTTAATTCTATTGTGCAACCACTTGGGATCGGTCCATACTATGCTCAAGAGGTCAGGCAAAAGTTCAAAAACTGTCAAGGTACCGCTGGACAACGGATCGGCCAATATCCTGCATGCTTCCACTATGCGATTTCAACGACAGGTCAAAAAGTGTGTAGCTGTATAGCAAATACTGCAGTCCTAGTGGCATTGACATAAAAATTACTTCAAAAGCAGCAATGAAGCAAAGAAAAAAGGAAATCATAACAAATTGAGAAAATACTAGTAAATTTGATTCGATTAAAAGTTGAAGAAAGACTCATTAAGGGAAAACGTCTGTTATGAAGCATGATGAATGCTAACAGAGAAAGGATTAAAAATTGCTGAAGCCGTTTGTAAAGTGGAACTTGAATGTTTGGAAATGGTGGCAACAAAAAACGTGCAAAAATGATTCGAAGGGTAAGAAATGCCGGAATCAACTGAAGCAATCGAAGAATTTCCAGTTACCTTCCAAGAATACTTTGTTGTCTTCAGCCAGCACTGAATATGTCGTTCAAACCAACAAGGACATATGAACACTTTTTTTACTTTTCCACACAACCCAACGCCACACATTGTGCTGACGCCAGCGCTTCTAGCATTTCTTTTGCTTCCTCGCATGCAATTAAGGTGTCCGGATTTCCGTATTGCTTCATGAGGGTCATTATAAATGCCTTTGAATGCTGATCGAATTAGTCTAACTAGTATGCCAAAGTTGCCATGCCAAGGTGTCCCCACGTGGCTTGGACGCACTTAGCTGACCCAGTCGGGTAGCAAAATTTTCCTACCGAAGGGTGACGTGAGGCCTGGGGAGAACAGAAAAGGGTTTTAATTCTCTATATGACCAAAAAAAGCGATTTCAGTGAAGGTCAGCTACTCAACAAACCAACAGATTCTTGTGGTCTACACGAGCGAGTTGGTTTGCTAGATGTTGCTTTCTTCGACATTCCATTTATACCTTTCTGTCAAGTCGTTTATGTCAATGCGGCAGCTAAAACGAATGGCGGAAGAAAATTTTATGAGTTTCTCAGGATATGTCAAGACACGTCACATAAGTGAATGTACCCACTCAGAGATTTATTGCTGAATGACCAACGAATTGTAATATTTTCCTAATTCGACTAGTTGGTTGTCGATCAACCAGAAGTTTTCGTAATTAGAGTGTCCATGGGGTATTCTAGAACACCAAAGTGCACGCGCAACAGCAAATTTTAGGAAAATCTGCTCAAAAAATGGGAAATGAGGTAAAACACGTCAGACTTGTTTTCAGGTACTTATGAAGCGCTGCTTTACACTTTTCTAAACCGGCTTCCAGGGACGGATAGCAGAGTGGTAGTGATGTCCGTCATCACGAGCATGGTACTAGTTCGATTCTGCTCCGGGCTAACCAAGGCTCTCGTCCCTCTGGGGTCGGGGATTGGTATCGGACTTGTCTGGGAAAAAAATTACTGTGTGCAATCCAATTAAGGACGCTCCAGCCCGGATATCTCAGGACCCCAGGGAGAAATGCTCGACCAGCACTCTACGACATTCAAGAAGAAGTGAAAATCATCAAGCAGCAACCGAAGCTACAAGTAAAACTTGGAAGATCTTCGTGGACGATGTAGGAAAGAAAGAGGAAGAGGAAAACGAATTGGATTTGAGAAGTGCTGGGATCCGCACAGTAAATATGAAGACGGATCAAATAGAAAGAGAATTTAAAAAGGCGGCTCTCACTTAATCTTGGAACAAATAATCAATATATCTTTCGAAATCTTCAGTTTATAAGAGATCACTGGAAAATTAGCTGCGCTTTATCATGAGATTGGCTCAAAAGAGAGAAAATGATAATCCTAAACCGAACGGTATGTCTGCAGTAAGCGTGTGGGCAACAGCACTATTCAATTCTCACCGTACCATGCTTATACAGTTTGCCAGTGGATAAGTCGATTTCGCGGATCCTCTGCTGAGAGGCAGTCCCTGTTTGTGTGATCGGATTGCAGTATTCTAAAAAACTCAGGAACATCAGAATTGATTGGTTTTGTTAGCCAAAGAAGTCTCCGACCTAAGTCTTGCAAATTCACGGCCGTGTTCACTTCACTTTCGGTATCCAGAAGCACATCGTTATTGACAATAAGCTGAAGAAATAAGAGAAAGCTCTCCTTAAGGAATTTGTGGTTCCCAGCCGTTATTTTTTAGTTGCACTGCGACATTCCTACGATTTTTCTTTGTCGCAGCTTGTTCTATTTCCTAGCAATCTGCCTATTATTGCCACCCTTAAATCACATCTCTAAACAACTTACTTTTCTGATGCAACCAACGAATCCATTACTAGTCCCGACTTTACTCCCAATGCCATCGATTTGCGAAGGTGCACCTCCAATGAATACCCCTTCATCCATAGAAATTCCCTTGTAGAACTGAAATGAAATTAAACCACCGATGGAAAAAAAAGATCGACAAGAGGAATTATCTATTACGAGCAGCCCAAATTGCGCAAGTGCTCAAAGCAATAGTAACGGACAATATTTGTAGCTCAAACTTCCGTTTATTGCGCAATGGTTAGCATTGATTGATGTACAAACGCATGGCATCTTGTTAGGCTGTCTTCTAGTAAAGAGTGAAGAAAGAACGTAAAGAAAACAAGGATTTTCGGTTATGATCCTTAACCTTTTGAGTCCGTAGAGTCCAGAGGATTTTCAAGGTGTGAAAATTTGTAATTCCCACAACTGACCTTCTGTTAATCCCAGAAATGATTGAGCGAATCTTTATATTCTTGTTGAAGAAAAACGAGGCGTTATTTTGTTTTTTTATTTACGAACAAGCTGACGTTTTCGCTGATGTCGACTTCCTCAGAGCCTGGACAGTTCAAGTTGAGAGCAATCTATCAGGCCAAACACCTCCATAACCAAACAGAGAAAATGCTGAGCCAAAATTTCAATCACATTGAACACAGAGTCTTTGCACACTCACCGTTTTCTATGAACCTTCCACTGAACATGTCACGTGTAGACCAACGGCACAGAGTTCGTATGGAAGCGCAATGTGTCCCGCTTCTCATAGACATAACGGGGAAGATTTTGAAGTAGAAGTTACGACTCTCGCACAGGAATCGAAAAGACTGAAGCTGAAAACTCTCGAGGCATTCTGGATTTACACGAAGAATCCGAAAATGAACCACAGGGAGGAATGGTCCGTAATCAAACGTGACATCGGACAGTATTTGAGCCGTTATTCCAATGTGGAGGAGAGGGGGGTGGAAGGAACATCACGCCAACATGTGGACTCCATGCGGCCACCAAGTGACATGAAAGACTTATAGAAAGCGGTGAGTGTGCAAAGAAGCTCCTCTGTGCTCAATGTGGTTGGAATCTTGGTTTAGCATTTTCTCTGCTTTGTTGTGGAGGTGTTTGGCCTGATATATTGCTGTCGTCTTGACCTTTCAGGCTCTGAGGAAAGCGAAATCCGCCGAAGCGTCAGCTTGCTCATTAATAAAGAGGTAGAATAACACCTTGTGCCTGATCAACAAGAATATAAAGAAGTGCGAAAATTAGGTTCGTTGCAGTACTGTCGTGTTTAAAAATCCTGTCAAAATTCCCAAAATTAACGGGAACACTTTCGAAGAAAAAAGCCGATGTCTTGGTAAAAATCTATTCTATAACATTTTCATAGAAATATAAGAGAAAGATAATTCTCGGCCTTGCCGACTTCCACTGACGTATTTTAGCCTTTGACGGCTGCGCTTTTACCAAGCAAAAGTTCAAAACTAGTTAAGATACATATTAGATCCTTAGTGCAACTATTTACAGTTCCTTAACTAGTAAAAATCGTGAGAAAAAGAAATAATGCAAAAAAGAACGAAAATCTGTCACGAACAAGAACTCCCTTCAATTAAGCATACGTCTCATTTAAAAGTTCTTGTGTATGACTGAGTAACAGAGCTCAAATAGGGATGAGAACAAAGAAAACCTTACTCTGAACTGCTCAGTAAGATCGACCATCAATGGTCGAGAGTCGACTTTGAGTTGTGTACGATCGCAGAACTTCCGCCATACAGTGGCTGAATGCCACTCGTTGAGAGCAAGCGGCCCGCGGTACATGTCTTCAATCGCCCCCTCTCCACAGTCATGTCTGAGCTTGTTTATGTATTAGCTTTATTCATTTATTTACTGATTTATAAATATACCATCAAAAATTTTAACTAGCATAGAGTTTCATTTCCACAAAAGTCAGTCAATCACGTTTTTCACTAGTCACTCAGCGGCAATAACTCGATAGACAACAACTTTTTCCAAAAGCTCACCTCAGGATAACATTCGGTCCAATAATCGCAATCGAGATGTAGTCGCTACCGTCGAATTGACCGGCAAAAAAGAGAATGGCATCGCGTTTCTCAGACGTCCTGTAGGTGATAACTAACCCTTACTGTTATGCATTGTGTTTTCAGTGGCTTAGGTAAAAGCAGCGTTGCGGCCTCTCTGCGGAAATTTAAAGAACTCAGAAATCACTACTTAGAGAGGTCAGGTAATAAAACAGTGAAAGCTACAAAAATTCGAAAAGTACTAAGACAAGCAAACAATGAAACAAATAGGTCTCTCTTGCGAAGGTTCTTGACGTTTTCACTTCCACAGCTAAACTCTTTTCGTCAATAGCAATTGCCTCTTGCGGCTTAAGTGAAAGTCGTAAAGTAGTAAGCGCTTAATGATCGACGACTGCCTGTGGATATAATCTGAGAGAAAGGCGAAGCAGTTATGTCACGACTTTAGTGAAAAATTTATCATACGAGTTAAAAAAGCCCTATTTTCCTGTACGACTTCTTTTCCTCTAGATTCTGTCATTCCAAGTAAGAGGCGGAGAACGGTCCTTGGTATAAAAGACATCAATGCTCTCCGCTCATTATGGGGTCAGAACCAAATTTAGGGTCACCAACCTTCAAGAGACTTCTTAAAAGAATATCGACACACAATATTTTGTTGAAAGAATCCTTTCAATCTGTGGATTAATCACTTCGGCACAAAGTATTAGTCGTAGCATTTCCTTCTTACTACCCATCTTCTGTTATGACGATTACAACTCGAGTTCATATGCATACATCTTCCATCGTCCTCAATATTCGCGTTAGCAGAATGTCAGTAAAACGAATTCCAAACTATCGCTAAATCTATTGGCCAGTACAGATATGGATATTGTACATGTTGTTAATGTTCATTATACTCCATAACAAGCGTTCTCTACTAAACGAGCTTCTCTCTGATGTACCCATGTTTTTGCACATTTTCATTTGTAACGTTATTTATACCTTTCAAATGTGATAGTTTGTGGTAGTCTAAGAGTTCATCTTAATTCTTATCCTTAATTCAAGATTTACATTCTCAACGTCATCCATTCTTTTTGACAAAGCATTCAGCATCCGTATCGCTCTACAAGTAAGTGAATCCGAATTCAAGAGCTCGACTTATGGATGTCTGTTCTAATCCAAAATTTTTATTAAGCAATTAGCGAGAGTTGAGTTCTTAAATAAACATCACCTGAACTCTATAGTAATGTTAGTTTCGAGGTACGTTGTCTCCGACACTGGAAATTCGGCGTAGTTGCTGCCACTGAATGAGAGCGGAGCGGTGTCCTTTTCCTTAGCCCAAGCTACTCGGTCACCTTTCAAACGAGGTGTCGCATGCTGCGTGCTTGTAGACGTTGACTCTGTTTGTCCAGATTTCACTGCGAAACATTTGTTAAGTTGGACTTTGGTGTAAGGAAGGAAAAAAATTCATTGATGTAACCATAATAGTTCATTTTGCATAGAAATCCTCGCTTGATTACGTGCCGCTCTAAGTTTTTCTACTCCACTAATTAGTATCCTCCTAACGATTTACCGCTTCATCGTGGCTGGGAGGTGTTCCTGGGTGTCGGACTGCGATGTACTGCGGGGAATTCATCCACTGACAGGGTCTCAAAACTGAGAAGGAGTCCGGCGTTTCCAACAGGAAGCCTAGCTAAGAGTAAACCAATATCAGAATCCACCATCGTCCTAGTATCAAAACCATATGGTGGTAAATCTCCTTCTGATCCACAAGGATTGCGACTACCTGTGGTGGTGAAGGCCAGGAGCAGACTTTGGACGGGCTGACTTTGGGATTCCAGGGAACTTAGGTGGCTTAACCAGCAAATCTCCGAAAAATGGAGATTATGGTGGGGCCTGCATAGCCAGTGAAGACGAGTCGTTCAGGTATCAAGTTCAAGTAAGTACTAATTAGTATTCCTTTATCAGCTCACTAAAGAAACGACGAAATGCTGTTTTCTTTATTTTGTACTACTAATGTAATCGTTAACTCCAAGCCTCCATTTTCTTACATTGATACCACACGGGATTCTATGATTATCACAGTATCACTGCTGACTTTTGCGAACTATTATATTACCAACTGCTCCAGGTTCTACTAGCCGTTCAGGTTTTTGAAGAAAGCTTACAAACATTCTTCAGAAGTGGTGAGAGTTTCTTTCATCGCTTGCAGCTGCATTATATCACCTTCAGTAACTCTCCAGAACAGCTCGCCTCCGTATCATTTTGAGAACACTAGTGTGTTAGTGAGAATGACACTCAATATGCAGTACTTCATCCGTCTTTACCAAAAGTGTAACTTTCAGACGATGCGGTAATCGTCCTTTTCTATTAAATCATAGGTGTATATTGAATTTTTTTTTTTTGAAAAATCGTTTCTAGGATTTCTCCGTGTCGCCTTTATCTGTCTCCTAAAGTATTCTGCTTAGACCATTTACTAATCATAGGTTGCTATACCTTTGCAGCTAATTCCATTCGAGAGCAACAGATAATCACTCCAACAGCTACATTCGTAAGTGTCCGGGGAAAGAGTTATGCATAGCTGATCGCAAAACGATGCCTCATCTGAGCACGATCCTGAAAAGGGATTTTGCTGAGAATACCATTTCCTCAAACAAAGAACTAACTTAAACATTCATCGTGGTTCGAACTGAACTCGATGAATGTGGAACACTGTTACCACAACCATGCATTCATATCAATGCAAGCAGTTATGTATGTTTTAGTCTGAGTTCACATTTCTCTGTAAACTGCTATCTTAGGCCATAGTACATGTGAAGAATTAGTTTCAGTTACTTTCGCTGCAGAAAAACGTCTATAATGCTTCATTCAAAAGCACGAAAACTCTCAGAAAGTTCTTTTAAACAGGAGACCTACAAGATAATAGTTTCAGTTTGTTCTTTCTAAATTTGGATAGTAGCTACACTTCAGAGGATGGAAGATGTCAAAAACAACGATTAGTTGTAACGTCTGAAATGAAAAGGGAATCTTAAAATAAACATTGAAGACAAATTCCGGGTAGATTCTCATTTTACGGAGTTTGCTACAATCTAACTGAGATTGACCCCTGTTAAAGAATTAGTAGGACGAGCATAGCATTCAAGCAAAGTGAAGCCTTCCAGCGTAAAATTAGCTGTTTTGTGGCTCAGATGTCCCCATTTGGTTCACGCACTGGTCTAGAAGAGATCCCCCACCCCCTCTTCCCACCCCATGAAATTTATTCTGCATTGTCCGCGTCTCGTCTATTCACCATGTCTCATTAAGGCGGTTCAATGATGCTCAGCTAATTAATCGTTGCCTCGACATCCGGGAAGGCGAGTTAATAGGATCACGAAGGGAAGGAGGAAGCAAGAAGTGGTGCAGATGCGAAATGTGTCTTAATCATGCTGTGTCTCATCAGTGCAGTTACGAATAAGCCTGATATGTTATTGGCTTAGCATAGAAGCGATTATTAGCACTAAGGAAGCACTTCAATTGTATTTAATACAGCGGGAGCTCTATAGAAGCCTTAGATGAGTAAACAATTCTGGTAAGGTATCACATCTGGAGCACATATGGTTCAATAATCAATCAAGCGGTCTCGTTTCATTCATATCAACAGGAAGTGAGGAATACCATTTTGGTTTTGCAAACTTAATACAAAAGTTGTTCTAGTAAATGGCAAGTTTAGTGCTCCTTTCAAGGAAAATGCTAGAAAAAACATGGGCGTAGTGCAAGATTGTAGGAGCAAGAACGAAGAGCAATAACATACCCGTGATATACGGCTTTCATAAAACGTTGGTGACTCCAGTGTTATCGATGAGCCGACAACATGGGCTCTTTCCCTAGGGCCAAAATGTCAATGAGGTGTTTAGAAGTGTGAATAAATACAGAAATAATCGTATCGGTTAAATATTTTTTTTCCGGGCCATTCTCAGTGTTCAAATTTTAATGTTCACGTGCAAAGCCTAACAAGTCGCCTTCCACATAAGATCGTCGGTGACATTCGTGCCAACTGTTCGAACCTCATTTCAAGAGTGTTCCACACGCCACACTAATGTCGCTGACAAATTTCAACGACTTTTCGTGAAGCACAACATCAAGAGTTATCCACATACCAAAGGGAATGCAAGCTTTCGTGAACACTTAAGGCCCTACATGAGCTGATTTGCACTCACAAGGTGCAAAACTAGCGCGCTTTAAACCGACGTACTCAGCTCAATGTGAAACTCATCGAATGCAATAGTGGTATTAGAATCTACAAGCTCTTTTGTTACAAAATCTTACCTATTTGCTTTACTACGATGAAGTTCCGATTTTCAGGAACCCTCCAATTTTTTAGCATTTCTTGTCGAGGTTCATATTCCAGAAATGAAAGCAAGCGAACAAGCCGTTTGATTGGGGGGCGGGGCGAAAGGCGAAAGCCTGGCGAAAGCAGGACATTCTCTAATAGCAGGCAGACAGTTGATGATTTCCGATTCATCATAACATTCTCCGTGCTAGTGCGATCATGAAAATGAACCGAAAAGAATCTAGTACATGAGAAAAATGAGCAGTAACTGGCACGACCGACTTTCTATTAACCTCGGCATTGATCAAGTGATTTTGTTCGTATTTTTGTTGAGCAAACGCGAGGTGTTATTATTCTTTGTTCATGATTAAGCTGACGTTTCGGCGGATTTCGCCTTCCTCAGAGCCGCTTCCTATGAGGTTTCCACTACGTATGTCACGTAGAGACCAACTGCACAGAAATCACGTGGAAGTATAATGTCTGAGGAAGGCAGGACATTCTGGCGAAAGCAGGGCATTCTGTAATAGCAGGCAGACAGTTGATGATTTCCGATTCATCATAACATTCTTCGTGCTAGTGCGATCATGAAAATGAACCTAAAAGAATCTAGTACATGAGAGAAATGAATGTCTGAGGAAGGCGAAATCCGCCGAAACGTCAGCTTAATCGTGAACGGAGAAAAATGAGCGTTGTTTTCTTCTACCCGTGGTCTTAACTTCTATTGTAACTGAATTTTTAGTGCACAAATAGAACTAAAGAAAAGAAGTAGAATACTTGTTCCAATGGAACATGCTTAAGTGCTCAATGCTACGGTTTCGCATTTTCTTCCTCCGCCTGATGACTTTTCTTCCAACTGATGAAAGCTCCAGCGCCGAGTTTTCCTCACTTAAAATGGCTTCGATGTCTCTTAAATGATTCCTTGTCGGCTATTCTAAGACCAGTACATTTCATATCGACTGTTTGAAATCGTTTTTTAAATTCAAATAAAAAATATTTCTTTTCTTAGGAGGGTAGAATAGACGACATACAAATGACTAGAATCTACGTATTTTGTTAAGAGGATATAAGTAATTATTTTTGTTGTGGCGACATGTTAGGCACTTATGAATTTTCAAGAATTCTGAGAGACGCGACACGATACAAGGAGTCCATCACTGAAGGCGAAGACGCTATCATATCCTTCACTTAGTGCGAACCTTGTTCTAATATGGGATTCAGTCGCTGTCTTCAGTAGAGATTGTGCTTTAGTTGAGGTGTTGCGAAGTTGTCGCCTTTCTTCCGTGTAGTTTTTCGACATGTCCTCCAACTGTTGTGACTGTATTGGGTTCAAAGAACGTCAGGTGGGTGACGACGAAGGCAGTCGGTTATGCACCTTACCGTACTCCTCCCCCAAGTAAAATACGAAATTGTCGAAACAAGCGCTGTATCGTATAGACCACATCAAACGCCCCAAAGGTGACTTACTCAACAAAATAAATCTTTTCTAGTCAACTACGTCCAAATCCAACGTTTTGCGGAAAAAATGAATTTTGTTTATTTTCGAGTTTCATTTTAATGATCGTCAAGGATGTACGCGATAATACTCGAGAAAGAAACACTAATCAACATCAGTCACAAATCTTCCTTGAAACTAAATCTTCAGCGTGGATATGCTGGAAACAATCTACCCCTTAGAGATCTTCTCCTTAAGGAACAATAATGGAACCACACAAGATTATATGTTTATCCCGAAAAACAGACGTTCACTATTTGAAAGAACAAGATCATAACTGGCTTTGGACCCGCTGAGGAGGAAATGTGATAGACTATGTGTATGATCCGGAGCATTTAGAACTACGATAATCATTTTGCTTAACAAGGCTATTGAGAACTGTGATAATATTTTATCGCTTATTAGGACTCGAGAAAATCACTTAGGTGACGAATAACAAATAGATAAAATATCGCAGTTTCTGGGTGAAATATGATTCACAAGAGGGGCTTAATAGCAATTTTTCCCTCTCCATGAGAACACCTTCCGTGACAGCATTCCAGTCCGTCTATTATATTTGTGAGTAGCAGTTAGCCCTTGTTCGGACTTACTCTTCTAGACGGCGTTATAAATCGCGATGGGCCCAATGATCCGTTCATAGGTGTACGGGTTCATGTTCCAGTCACCACTTCTTTGTTATTGGATGTCATCACGACATCGCCCATTACCTACGTTTACCTACAGATTCGATCAATACGGTAAACACGACGGGCATGACGAGCAGTCAATCTATCAAGCGGGTCTTTTCATGCTCTACCCAATGATATATAGCTTCCTGACCATTAGTGACATCAATTTCTTGACTATGGTATTATAAGGAACGAACCCAGCTCGACGACGCGTCTGCTATTTACCGAGATTTTGCAGTCATAAGCTTCCAGTAAGTTACACCAAGTCAAAGATTTTAGTATGAGCTCTGAGTGCTAAGCACATTAAAAGTGGTTTAGTTACAAGCTTAAAAGTGGTTTAGTTAAAGCTGACGTTAATAGTAAGAAAACCTATTTTGGTGAGACATTCTACGTTTCATCCAACCGTATTGCTTCTTCGCATCCCAAACTAGGAACCCTTCCCTACGACATGCACATTACAACGGAACTCTTCAACTTGAAAAAGGCGTTCATCATTTGATGTTTACGCCAAAAGATGTCAGTACTACTCTCACTAATGCATGACGATGAATGATGTTCTGATTTACATATGGCTTCGCTAGAGACGGCTTTGCAGATGGGAGGTGGTGGTATTAATGACGCCATGCTGACCCGGCAAGTTAGTCTAAGCCCTGCGATTTTCTTGGTACTAACCTACAGATAGAAAGGGGATTATGAGAATAAATTCACTTACTTACTCCTAAGTGGCCTATTTTCCAGAGGAGTCGTTCAATGCCCAACGTAATTTCTATTTCACTGCCACTTTACTTTGCTGATCGGACAAAGTTTTCTCGAGAATTCGGAACGAGACAATTATGAGAATGAAGGTCAAAAAAACACTTCTATGGTGAAACAACCAAATGAGACTGTCGTTCTCAAGAGAATTGGTGGAGAGAAAACGTTTTGCTCTTCCTCTGACATATAGCTGCTTGGTTGGTCGTTCTTTTTCTAACATTACATAATTTTAAACACTATGTTTTTCGTCTCTAAAGGAGTCGTTGCGCTATTAATGTGGTATTCGCTTCGCTGGGAGAGACATCACAAAAGGATTGAGAAAACTACTACGGGCTGATGAAAAATTACAAGTACAAATTCCGGCCATTATCTTACTTTTCTCGTCCTCTTCTTTCACTTAGAGCCATATCTCGCAGAGACTTTCAACTCCC